TTTTTATAATTATAAAATTCAAATTATAATAATAAATTTTCTAAAATTAGAATATAATTATAAATAATTTATAATTAATTATTATGATTAATTATTAATTATTAAATGATTATATTAATTATTTTGTCCAATTATATAATATTAATTTAAAATGAAATTAATTTTAAAGAATAAAATTTAATAAATAATCTTTTAAAAATGACAAAGGACCTAATTAAAAAATAAGTGAAACTATAAGGACTTGATAAAAAGGAAAAAAAAAATCAAAGGACCTAAGTAAAAACACATGAAAGTAAAAAAAAAAAAACCTGATAAAAAGAAAAAATTCTATAAGAACTTCATTAAAAATCAGATAAAACTATAAAGACCCGGAGATTAATTATCCCTTTGAATTATTAACTCTTAAATTACTGCCTCTAACTGGTTTATTCATTAGCCCAGTTTTCATTATTCTAATATTGACACATCTACTTGTATACTACTTTTAATTCTTAATATAAAAATTAGTTAACTAATTTAAGTATATTAAGGTAATTAGTTAAGTTAGTTATTTGTAATAAATAGATATTATTTTTTCTAAAATATCCTTACTAATTAAGTGTCAATTGATAAAACATTTAATATGTGTAACTACTATGAAAACTATATTTAAAAAATAGATAAATATGAGAGATAAAATAAATTGAGATCTTATATTTATAACTAAATTAAAAATCAAATTAGCTTTTATATTAAAAATCAGAGATAGTATTAATTAAGAGAGTTAATTAGCCAAAAATACATAATCCAATGAGAATCTTCCCAAGCACTCTGCATCCATTGGATTACCGCTTGGTTTGTTGTGGAAAATAAATAAGTGATCCAATTGTGATTATATATGCTGGTCAAGCGTTAGGTGAGTGGTTGGTGCTCCTCGTCACTCCATTTCTAGCATTCCGCTGGCCCCATTCATACATATAAATATATATATACTCCTCCGGTCCTTATTATAAGACCCAATTTGACTTTTATTTGGTCCTAATTATAAGACCCAATCCATTTGTCTCTTATATTTATACATTTTTTCCAAGATAATCCTTCTAATAATGATAGTTTAGCCAATATACTTAATTAGCAAGGATATTTTAGGAATGACAACATTATTTATTATAAATAACCAATTTAACTTACTTCCTTAATCTCCTCAAATAAGTCAATTGGGTCTTATAATTAGGACCGGAGGAGTATATATATATTAATTCAATACTATCTTAATATAGGAGTTTGTTTGATTTTTATTTTGGTTCTAAATATACGATCTTATTCTACTTTATTTATCATATTTATCTATTATTTTTTAAGATAGTCATTATAATAATGGTAGTTCTAGCTATGTACTTGATTAGTAAAAATATTTTAAGAAAGACAATACCTATTTATTACAAATAACTAACCTAACTAATTTTTTTAATCTACTCAATTAATTAACTAACTCTTATATTAAAAACTAGAAGTAATATTATATATACGAAGATTTTGTTATTCTTAGTGTCTATTGTTAACATAATAAACAGGGTATTAGGCGATAATTAAAAATGTTTTTAAAAAATATTTTTTTTGTAAAACAAAATAAACTGTTTTATCTATTTACTTCTTATATTTTAAAAATATTTTTAAAATCATAATTTGGTTTTTATCTAAAAATTCTCAAGGCATCGTTTGCATTTTATGGGTCATAACCTCGTGAATATTCGGTCAAAAAAAAAAACTCTTTATGAATATGATTTTGTTTTTTTTAATCTCAAACAGATGGGGGAAGAAGCCGTGGGTTTGAGTGGTGCGTGGTGGCCCTGGCCCCATATGACACTGTCCTGTCGGCAATCTCTGCAAGACACTAGAAAGTTGATACTGTTGGGATTTTACAATTTATATGACTCCGTCGGTCCCTTCCCATAACATGAATATTAGTACAATATTAAAATAATTATTGCATTTGCGTCCCCCGTATGAAAATTGCGCGCACACAATGTGGAAAATTAGGAAAAATCAATAATTAAAAGAGTATTTGGATAAAACCACTTAAAATTTTAAAAACAATTTTACGGCATACAAAATATATGTACGAAATAAGTTGTCTCAACTTGCATGAAATTTTTTTTAAAAATGTTTTTATATTTATTAATCTTAGCTGTTTTCATTTGTTCAAATGAAGTTGTTATCTAGCTTGTTTCTGGTAAAAGGGTCCAAACTAAAAATAATACTATTTTCAGTCCATATAAGAGTTATTTGACATTTAATTTGATCTTAAATATAAGACTCTAATTTACTTTATGTTTCATATTTATTTATTTTGTTAATATAGTCCCTGTAATGGTTGTACATGTTAAAGATTTCATCAAGTAGTAGCTCTAGCTAATACACACGGTTAATAAGGATATTTTTAAAAAAACAACATCTATTTATTATAAATAATAAGCTTAATAAATTTTTTTAATCTACTTAAATTAGGCAATTAATTTTTATGCTAATAGGAGCTAATATTGTATGAGCAGTAAATGCTGTTTCCAACCCACGCAAAAAAAAAGTACTCTCCGGTCCTTAATATAAGACTATTATATTAAGGAAGTTATAATTATTTTTTATATTAAGCGATGAGTAAATGAACATTATATTTCTAAAACCCATAATGGCTTTGGTCTAAATATAAGACCCATTCTCTATTTATCAATTATCTTAAATTACCCCTATGGATACCCTTTCAACCATAATCAAGTAGAAGAGAAGATGAGGTATTAAGAAATATGATTATGTATTTTAGGAAAAACGTGTCATATTTTTATAATTAACTAACTTACCTAACTTCCTTAATCTAATCAAATTAGTTAAATGGGTCTTATATTAAGGACCGGAGGAGTATTATTTATTGGAGAAGCATACTCAATATGATGCCCCAAGAAAAGGGTTGATTGGCCACCACGTCATGACAAGAAGAAGTTTTGGCAATCAAAAAAGCAAAAGCAGTGCGTGAGTTTTCTGCGTAAAAACAGCGCAACCAACGTCAGGGCCGGCGAGGGCCAGGCATGAGACAGCGTGGGCGTGCGTCACTCCCTCACTTTCAGATAAAAATTTACTCTCAACTGTTCCATTCCAAGAAACTAATTCGTGAACAATATCATTTTTCTGACCATGAAAAACGACAAAAAAAAACATCATTTTGAAATTTGGGAATTGGGAGGGAGGCCAGCTGAATTGTTTTAATTTGATCATTTTGATAAAAATATTAACAATAAAATTACTATTTGTAGAGTATTTAAAAAAACTTTTAAGTAAAAATTTGTAGAGTAAATGTGGACCTTGACTTTGATATTAAAATTGGAAGGGGGAGTGAGAAACTATGAGAGGAAGGAGAGAGCTGTGGGACCATAGATTGCATGCCAAAGTTACCAAAGATATGGTGTGTGGCAGTGGAAGTTGAGTGTGCCTTGCTTTCTTACTGTAAAGGATGTGTTTCCTTGCACCCACAAATGAAAGCAACTGATCTCTTTGCAATTTCTTTTAGGATTGCTTCATCTTTGTTTTCATTCAAATTAATTTAAATCCACCCTATATATACATATATAGATTCAATATATTAATCGTATATTGATTCTTTCATTATTTACAATAAATTATTATGGCATCTTAACCACGCGGAGATGTAGCCACTAATTAATTGTGGTCCTTGCATGTTGCTTTAGTGATCAAAAGCACTGTGCAAATGTGGTTGGGCACCTGACCTTTCGCCTATAACACTAAGGGGGTATTTGGATGGAAATCAAATCATGATTTTAAAAGTGATTTTACGGTCAGATGTAAAAAAATTTGTCTCGATTTGCGAAAAAATACTTTTAAAAACATTTATGTAAGAATCCAAACACCCCCTAATTGTCTCTTTTAAGTCTTTCTTAAACATAATGTCCTGAGTTCGATCTATTTATACAGAACATAATGAGTGTCTGCATTCTAGCGAAAAAAAATAAAAAGATTCGACAATTAATAATTATTAAAATAAAAAGAAAATTGTTTAGGAGGAGAGGAATTAGATTTGGCGTGAGTGAATTATTGAAGTGAGTGAAATGGATGCCTAACAGACTGCATTATTGATTGAATAATGATGGGTGCACGATGGGATCTTCGGACTGTCAAGGCTAAAATTGACAATATCTTTTTTGGCCAATATAAATTTTATCAATCGTAGGGTCCTTTTGTTGTTGTTGCCATTATTAATCTGATTCTAAAAGCAATCTCGTTCCTAATGCTAACTCCAGATTAATCCGGAGGAGTATATAATAGTGGCTCTTAAAATGTGATTGCCTTGTTGAATTGTTGATGTTTTATACATAGTGGAAAAAAGAATTCGCCACATTATTTTCTTGCAAGTCATCCACTTTCGTTGAATCTGGGGCTACAATATATATTAGGTATCCTTAGCTAATTCAATTAATAAAAAAAATATGTAAATTAGTATCCTTTTAACTTCTTTTAATATCAACACTAGATAACGATAAAGACAAGATCTGTAATAAAGAATCAATTGCACATTTACATTACCCCGCCATACTATTTTTGCACAAGTCATGATTGGGAGGCAAAAACTAAAACGAATAAATAAAGCATCAAAGTCTTCATAGAAGTCAACTTCGCCAGATGCAGGAAGGCGGATGGATGATTCGTGAAATTGTAAATTGCTAATATTAAAAAAAAAAAAACTGAAAGAAAAAGGGTTTAACCCAATCGCATGATGAGAAAGAGGTGAGGCTAAAATGGCTGTGGCTGTTCATTTTTCTGTGCTTCTTATGATCCGAGCCAAAATGGTTTCATCCTTCTTTCACCTTCGCGCACTCTCGCTCCTCTTCCTATTCTATTCCTCTCTTCATTTGACCCTTATTCAACTAGAAACACGGACACTTTATTAGGTTATTGACATTTGGCAGGGTGTGGCGGAAAATTGGTGCAGGACCCACTCGGTAATGGAGACAGTAACAGTGAGTTGAAGTTGAATTTATGCTGGCTCTGATTCTCCCTATCTTCAAATCCGTCTTTTTTTGGTGGTTTTATGGTTCCCAAATTATTATATCTCAGCCAGTTCCTAAAAGTTTCCACTGTTGGCATTTTTACCCCTTTCGGTCTGGATTTGCGTAGGCTCCAAGTACTCCTCTTTTCACTCTTTAATCTCAAAAGCTACTCTAGGATCGCACAGAGAAGAGAGAGAAAGAGAGAGAGTGAGTAATGGAGGAATATCCATTTCTCCGTGGTTGACTATGTTCTAACGGGAATCAGTACTTGTACTTGAGCTCCGATTCTTAACATTCCATACCCTCTCCTGATTCTTCATCTCTTCCTGGTGAGTTCTCAAGAATATTATTTCTCTCTTCCTTTCGCTTTCGCCTCTAGTTATCCAGCACGCTTAATCTTGCGGTGATTTTAATCAATCTACAGTTGGGGTTAATTTGTTGAGGGTGTTTATTTTCTACATACGGAGCCTGAATTGGGTCCGCTGCTTCTCAAAATCTGGAGTTGGCTTGTTTAATTGCCATGCGGTGTGATTGATATTGGTTCAAGAGCAAGATCATCGCTTTTGTATGGTTGAGATTAATTTGCAACGGAGTAGCCATAAAAGTTTCTTCGACATCTTTTACGTTTTAAATTGGTCGTCCCGACATAATCACCGATTCCTCCAAAATTTGATATTAGCACGCTTTCTGATACGCAATATCAGTCATGGATTATTTTTCTTTTATTAATATTTGTATATTCCGGTTCGTCCCTTTACTCTCTTTATCACATAGGTAGCATTCGAATATACGGTATTCAGAAGAACTATTGCCTTTATGGGAGTAGAGAATAAGGTAGGAATATGGAAGAGGCTTAGTCTTTTTATTCCATGGTCACTCTACTCTTTGTCTTGCTTACTTTGGTGTGCCCCGACAGTATATTTTATCTACTTTCATCTTGTTACTGTTGATGATGTCAAACAATTTCAGATAGATAATCGTGCTACAACTGAAGATTAGACTCTAGGCCTTCCTTGTAGTTGTTCAATGTGTTCCATTAATGATTGGGAATTCCTTCTATATTGCTCGATTAATATTTTTTTTTTATCTCCCTGTGTGGCACTCTTTCAGGAATAAGTTAGCTGATCTGCACGCAAATAATAATAATAATAATCCATATAATGGGTTGGTTTACAAAGCTGATGAAGGGCTCCAACCATAAAATTTCAAGGGGACATTACCATGGGAAATATGGAAATGACCAATTTTGGGATGACCATCGTAATGCAGAGGTAATAACAATTTCTGCTTCTAGTAAGGAAATAAAATAATTTTATCAGGCTTTCTCATGTCGATGAGCTAGCCTATTACCTGACTTTAACAAGATAGACGCATGAAACTAACATGGAACAAGTTCATCTGATACTTAAGGCGATCGTCTGAAGTTGTAACAGTGGCAAACTGGGTGCAGGATGATTTAAATGATACTGAGAAAGAAGACATCGACTGGGCAATTGCACTCTCTCTGTCAGAGGAGGATCAGAAAGGGAAAAAGGTTATTGGTAAGGTCCATGCTTTTGCAGAAAGGCGGTTTAAATTCACTTGTATGCTTGTTTGACCTGAATTTGACACTATAGCAAGACAGCGTGTGGGATGAAAACTATACATTTGCAATTAATATGCATATTGAGAGGTGGCTTTTTTTTTTTTTTTTTTGTTATGCGCTTTTGTTTCAGCCCTGTTTGACTGGACTTAGCTTTACCTCTCAATTCTCATAGGCTTTGATGGATGACACATTGTCTATTATGAAGATCTCTGTCAATACTATAATGCTAGTGATTAAAAAATGAAAGATGTCTCACAACAAGAGTCTTTTTTGTTTGTTCTGGTAATTTTCATTTGATTGATTTACCTAGAGAAATACTGTTTAGTTTCATCAGTTTATATGTTTGGAAGTGGTTGTTATTAACTGAGTCTTCTATTTTTTCCTGCTGAAAGAAAATTTATAAGGTCTGTTGTTTTTGTCTTATCCCAGAGTATGCCTCACAGTCAGAAGATGAAGAACTTTGTCCAATTGATGAGGAGGAAGATGAACATCTTGGTAAAGTTCAAGAAGAGGAAGCTGAAATTCCTGCTAACATTCAAAAGGAGGAAGATGAACATGACGCAAATCTTCAACTTGAGGAAGATGAGCAACTTGCGAGAGCAATTCAAGAAAGTCTAAGCATGGGTTCTCCTCCTCGATATGATGCAGGGTCTTCATTTCAACCATTTTCTCTATTTTCCACTGGATACAGGTGACTGGCTATGATGTCATTTTATCGTCGCTGGCTAGTGCAAATTCTGTATATGAAAATTGGTATAGTCAGTTGGAATAAAAAAGGCAACGGCTGATATTTTTGAATGAGTAGATTGTTAATCTTCCCTAGTAGAAAATGTTTCAAACCAAAATTTAATATTGTTGAATTATGCTTGGTTAATTTCAGAAACATGTATTTCTTTGTTTTTCCCCCCTCTCCCCCACCTTTTCCCTAATTTCACTCTCTCATTGACAATATCATTTCTTTCATCTTCTCAAATTTGGGAAAGGAGTGCGGAGCGATACTTTTCAGCCTGTCTTCTTTACGATTTACCAACAAAATAAAATATGACAAAAAATCTTTTGACATGAGATGAGAAGCGAAACTTGAAGGAGTGTGACATCAAGTCTTACATTGTACTATAAGATTATCTGATCTTTGTCAGGGTGACAAAGAGCAACAAAGAAAATCTCAAGCTCTGAGCCGCCAAACAAACAGCTTTGAATTGATATCAGGTCATCTTAATTTAGGATAATTTAGTCTGTAGTCTTGGACTGGGGTAAACACTGCAACAGGATTTCCTTTGTGATGCCAGAGGGTCTCAGTTTTTCTGCTTGTATGAAACATATATTTTGGGTTAGATGAACCTAATACAAAAGCAGTCATTGGAACATCTGATAATGAGTCTGAGCTAGTTCGTATTTATGCTGAGTGACTAATGGAATATCTTGAAATTGTTTCAATCACCTAAGAAAATTGAAACTACTTCAGTCCCTTATCTCTATATGTAGCATTTTATAGTTGCTTTTATTAATTTCATCATTTTTAAGCTAATGAAATTACTGATTTAACCTTGTTCTGGTTTAATCTGCTCTCAGGATCTGTGCTGGCTGCAACGCTGAGATTGGCCATGGAAGATTTTTAAGCTGTATGGGAGGCGTCTGGCATCCAGAATGTTTTCGTTGTCAAGCTTGCAATCTTCCAATTACTGATCACGAGGTGAAAATTTTCTTGTGTTTGGAACTGGCTTCTTAAAATTGAGAGTCTTTAACTTATTTCCTTCTATTTTGTGGCAATTTTGATTATAATTAATGCTTGAATCTTTGTTCATTTACAGTTTTCTATGTCTAGCAATCGCCCTTACCACAAATCCTGCTACAGGGAGCAGCATCACCCAAAATGTGATGTTTGCAAGAATTTTGTAAGTATCTTATCAGTTGTATCTTTTGTTGACTGTTTTCTGATAGTCTATCATGGTCTGCTTGTTTTAGGTGAAAGATTTCACTAAATTTTATTATGCTTTACACATTGCAATGCGATCTTTATGTTTGGAAGACAAGGACCATTTATATTTAGCTGTTTCTGAAACCATATTGAACAGATTATAATTCAGGATTGTACTTAAGAAAGCTATGCTAAACATTTTACTCATTTTTTTCCTTGTAATAACCTAAGGCCCAGCTAATTAACAGGAATACATTGGTCTCAGATAGAGCACAATGGTATTGTGTGATCTATGCAACCAACTCGATTTGGTGGGATAAGGTTTTTGTTGTTGTTGTTATTGTACCTAACGAGAAATACATTGTTGGAACTGTCATGGTAAAAGACCATATGCCAGATACAAGTGCATTTCTTCCTGGGCTAGTAGATCTGGGGCTAATTATCGATGTCTTTGTATCAATATATGCTGTCAAGGTATAGGGTAAAACGCAACCCTATGGTAACAGAAAACTCACATTTTTTTCCTTGTTAACACCCCAAATCATAGTTTTTGTAGTAACAGACAAGTTATGGTACGATCTTCAATCATCCAATGTTATAGGAGAGAAATAAAAATGTGAGCTGAAAATTTCAATAAATTTAGAACATGATCTTTTGCTTATGAAGTACAAACATTTTATGTTTGATAAGAATGCCACAACTAGTATGCATGCCCATATTATATTTTGAATATTTTGAAATTTTAACAGATGGAGCTCTACTTGTGTTTTCATTAATTTACAGAGTTTTTTAAGCCTCGTCTTTAATTACAAGAGGGTCTTAGCGATACATCTCTAAACTGGGAGGGGCATGAAAAGTTGTGATGCTTCCTTCCTAAACAAAAAATAAAAGAAAAACAACATTTTTTCTTGTTTTTATTTTATTTTACAAGTCATAAATATCAGTTGGTAAACGTAAATTACTTACTCTTTTCTCACAGATTCCAACAAATTCAGCTGGCCTCATTGAATATAGAGCACATCCTTTTTGGCTACAAAAATACTGTCCATCACATGAGCGTGATGGCACTCCTCGCTGCTGTAGCTGTGAAAGAATGGAGGTCAGTTATATCTGCTCCCAGAAATATTTTGTCCTTTTTTTCGTTACCAACCTTGATATACTGATGCATTGTCTCTTATTAACCCTTATCTCTACTCATGTCATTCCCTTTTTATCTGATATGTTTTTCCAATCAATGCAGTCAAGGGACGCAAAGTATCTTTTGCTGGATGATGGCCGGAAGCTATGCCTAGAGTGTCTAGACTCTGCAATAATGGATACTCATGAATGCCAGCCACTTTACCTTGAAATACAAGAGTTTTATGAAGGTTTGAACATGAAAGTGGAGCAGCAAGTTCCTATGCTTTTGGTTGAGAGACAAGCACTGAATGAGGCAATGGAGGGAGAAAAGAATGTAAATGATAGTGTGTTGAACTTTTTTCCCTTCACTGACTATTTTGGGTCCTCTTTCTAGCGTATTGATGTTGGAGTTTATTTTTCATATTCGAATGCAGGGTCATCACCACTTACCTGAAACTAGAGGACTTTGCTTGTCAGAAGAGCAGACTGTCACCACTGTAGGAATTTCTTGCAACCTTTGATCTTCATAGACGATCTGAATTCTGAGATGATTTGTGCATGCAATATTTTGTCCTTATGCTTTTCCCCCCATCTCATACCAGATTTTGAGGAGACCAAAGATTGGCGCAGGCTACCGAATCATGGACATGATAACTGAACCTTATAGGCTGATCCGTCGCTGTGAAGTTACTGCCATTCTTGTTTTATATGGCCTTCCGAGGTATCCTTCTGGCTCCATCTATGCTCGTTATGCAGCGCTGGCATAGAAACTTCACTGAATATGATGCGCCAATTTTCTATTCGTAGGTTGTTAACGGGATCAATCCTGGCTCATGAGATGATGCATGCATGGCTCCGGCTTAAAGGTATTCGTCCTGCTAATTTGTGATGCACCCCATGTAAACAACAATACCCCCACTCCCCATTTTCTAAGGTGTTATGTTCCGCTAATTTTTGTGCGATTTTGATAGGTTACCCTAGTCTGAGACCCGAAGTTGAAGAGGGAATTTGCCAAGTTTTGGCTCATATGTGGTTAGATTCAGAAATATATTCTGGATCTGGGGGCGACGGTGCATCATCTTCGACGTCATCTTCATCATCATCCTCACCTTCCTCCTCATGCTCCACATCATCAAAGAAGGGCAAAAGGTCTGACTTTGAGAAGAAACTGGGCGAGTTTTTTAAACACCAGATTGAGTCTGATACCTCATCAGCTTATGGAGATGGATTCAGATCGGGTAACCAGGCAGTACTCAAGTATGGGCTCAGAAGGACCCTTGACCATATCCAACTGACAGGAACTTTTCCAGTATGAGGATGATTTTAAAAAATTGCTTTACTATCACAAGGACCTATACCACAACTTTTTGTCATATAAACCCTATAGAATGCAAATATTCCAAAATCATATCATTTTAAACTTATTTAGACAAAATAAGAGATCCGTTGTAGCGTGCAGGTGCTGTAATATGTGAATTGCTTGTCACCACACCGTATATATGCTTACAGACGCTTTACAGAATTTGAGAAAATTAAACAGTGAATGTATAGAATTAATATTGGTGTGCTTGGCGTTTGCTCTTTTTTTTTTTTTGGGTTCAATGGTTAACGTTTTCGTTTATATTTAGTTGGTTCAGAGGGAAGTTTACCCTTCTAGCTGAGAAGGCCCTTGCGACTGTTTGATAAATAGGCAAGCTGGCTCGAATCCCGGGCTTCATTCGCTGCCGAAATATGAACAAAATTTGTTAACCTTGCGTTGCTCCGTCACTTTGAGATGTTTATTAATGCGGTTCATAAATTATTTAAATTTTATATTAATAATCCAGATATATAAAAATAATACTATTATTATATTTGTGATGTAAATTAATGCAATTTATTTTGAATTTTTTGTAACAAATTGTGGATAAAATAGCCATTCATGAATAATAAAAGATTACTTTTGATGGTAAATGTGTATATATATATCTTTTCATTATTTACCACCTTTAATTTATAACACGGTGGCAATGATCTAAATTGCGAAAGCGAATTTTGAGCATAATTGTCAAGTGATGTGCATAGCAAATTCCGGACCGTTAATGCAAGCCATTGCCTAGGTTTATATTGAAATTTTTTTTTGCCGAATTATATTGAAATACTGAATGATTGGTATGGATATGTTATATTTTATATAATTTACATTTTTATTTCTAATTATTTTCAGAATTAATTATTAAGATATTATTTTATTTATTTTAAAATTAAAAAATTGGCACCTAACTTATATTTAGACAATCTAAATTTTAAAGTAAGTATGCTCCTAATCTTGCAAGCGCTGAACCTCTCTGGCAAAAAAAAAAAAAAAAAAAGCAAGCGCTGAATCTGCTCTATGCAAATTACAGATTTACTTTTACATGGACATCTCAAGTGTCTAAGTGACACTCCCGAACCGGCCCCCTCTTCCATGAGCCAAGTGATCTATCTTACGAAAGTCACCAGCCTGTTCTGTTCCGGAAGGAAAAAACAAAAAAAACTACCCGAATCGCGAGTGTGGGAGAGGTGAACCTCTGTCTCTCCATCATTGATCCTACCTCTCTTAATTCCTTCTTTTCCCACGACTCTCTTTCAATTTTTCCTTTAATTATTCTTATCTGATTTTGATTTGATTTTATGTCTTGATCTCTGCTATCAATTACAATCAGAAGTCAGATTCCGTTTCTAGGATTGCAGTGATATGGAGGTAGCGGAATTAACCTCGGAACAGGTTGGTGATCCTTACACTTTATCCCGCTTTTGTTCTTCGTTTGGTTTCTCTGTTTATTGTTATTTATTCGATCTGATTCGGTTTTAGATGTAATTTTTCTGATTGGTTTTGACGGGGTTTTTGCGAATTGTTATGTATTTAACGTTTTTGATTGTCCAGTGTGGTGTTATGTTGCTGTTTCCTCTAACATTCTGTTCAATGTTCTAAAGGTTTTGGGGAGGGATATCCCATGGGAAACCTACATGGCGACTAAGCTGATCTCAGGCACAAGCCTTCAACTCTTGAGGCGTTATGATCATCGATCGCAAAGTCACAGAGAACAGTTGCTGGATGATGTAATTTTTGTTTCTTTCTTTATTTGTTAAGATAAACAATTCTTCTAAGGTTTCAAGTCGAGCTCGGGGTCAAATTGATCATACCTATGATTGCCAAGTTTACCGTCTGGTGGTATTGAAAACTCAATGTCGCTGTTGCAGGATGGTCCAGCTTATATTCGTGTTTTTGTTCATGTTTTGCATGATATTTTTAAAGAGGAGACTGTAGAATATGTTTTGGCATTGGTGGATGAAATGCTAGCAGGTAACTTGAGGGAGTGTGACATCTCTTTTCTTTATGAATTTTGAGCTTCTAACATTTTTCCTTTTCACAGCAAACCCAAAAAGGGCTAGATTGTTTCATGATAAGTCCCTTGCTGATGTAGATACCTACGAACCTTTCTTAAGGTCAGTAATTACTCAGCTATGCGCTGAATATTAATTATTACGTTGTAAATTATGGAAGCTCACTTTTCATGCTTATATTATTCCATATTATGTCAGTCAAGTTTTAGTGAATTTCTTCCTGAAATAAAATCGAATGGTTTTTTAAGTTGAACTCATCTCTGTTTAGACAAACCCTGGAGAAAATTTTTCATCTGTTTGCTATTGATGTGATTTCATTTGACAGTTAATGGCTCCAATCCCAGGTAATCCAAAGTTTTAAAATATGTTATAAATGATATTGTCCATCTTTCAGATTGCTCTGGAAAGGGAATTGGTTCATACAAGAGAAAAGTTGTAAGATCCTTGCTTCAATAGTGAGGTAATGTGAATGTTTTACATTTGTGAATTCAAGGGCACAATTTTTAAGATGTTAACCATATTGTAGGATCGCACCCTATTCCCCCACAAGATGTCACCTTTTTAGTAATTGTTTTTCTTGCCAACTTTGTGATTATAGTGTCCGGCCAAAAAATCAAAATGGCATTGTTACAAATGGAGAAGCATCAAACTCAAAGAAATCACTCACTACAATTGATGATGTTTTGACGGCATTGGTGAAATGGCTTTGTGAACAGGCATGTCATCACTTCAAGCTTCTTCCCTTTCTTTCATCTAATTAGAAATTGTAATCTTAGCATCATGGTCTTTTTATAGGATAATTGACTTTGTGTATTTAAAGGTCCATGCAATATAGCTTTGTTAAACAATTTAGTTGCCTATCATTCCCTTCACACTACAAGTTAATCTTGTCTTAGATAATTTTTGGACTTTTAGAAGCTTACTATGGCTAGATCAAAAGAAAGGGGAACCAGTACAGCACACAATCCATGTGGAATTTTTGTTGGGTAGCATTGTATTTGTAATCCAAAATATCCTGAAATAAGGGCATAACATTAATGGGGGTTAGGTCTAGCAGGCAACATGACAAACCAAGGTTTGAATCCTTATTGGAAGATGTGTATACGTTTAGTACTCAACTGTGCCTCAAATAGTAGGACACATGCGTGCAACTAAAGTAAGGGACAGAGTAGAGTAGTCTAGAAAGGCATTAATCCAATTCCATCCTATGCATATCTGAACGCCATGAGATTTATCATGCTCCATAAAAAGAAAGTTCCTTTCTCACTTGTGAATACATGAAAGAAACCCACAAACTTGTTGAGGATGCGTGACTCATGTTAATTTACAAAACAAGACGCCAGAAGTGCTTGAATAGATTTTGAGAATTTATGAGATTTTGAACTTACGTAATGTGGGTGACACAAAACATAGTGAACTTTTACGGCTTTCTCTTAATTTGGACCTCACATTTGGACAGGCCGGATGGGTGGGAATAGACACTCAAATCTGTGGTCGATTATGTGTCATCTTGTTTAATAGAACTCTCTCTCTCTCTCTCTCTCTCTCTCTCTCACACACACACACACACAAACACATCCATGCACACATTCTCACCTTTATTTTATTGCTACCTGTAGCTGAAGAAACCTTCTCATCCTAGTCGTGGCGTCCCAACTGCTGTCAATTGCCTGTCAACTTTACTCAAGGAATCCATGGTTAGATCTTCCTTTGTTAAAGCAGATGGGGTCAAGTTGCTTGTACCTTTGATTTCGCCAGCATCCACTCAACAATCAATTCAGGTAATTTTGCATAATTTGACCACTAAGAAGCTTAAGATGGATATCCAGTAACCTCTAGAGCATCGTCTAATAGATGACTAAACACCGATGGTGGATTCAGTCCATGCTGGCTCTTCTTTCCTTTGTGAACAATGGGAGAGTGGATGACCAGGGAATTAGAGATCTGCTGACTTTGTGATTGATATATTAATAAACATTTTAAATATTGGAACTAGCAGAGTTAGAATTGAAGGAACCTGTGTTGGGAGTGAAAATGAGTAAATTTTTTAATTTTCTGTGTCACAGCTTCTTTATGAAACATGCCTCTGCATCTGGCTTCTGTCCTATTATGAGCCTGCAATTGATTACTTGGCTAGTTCAGGATCCCTTCTGCGACTTATTGACGTCATAAAGAGCTCTACGAAAGAAAAGGTATGGCTGGCTAATTGAGTTTGCTCATCTCTTTTCTCCCTTGTGGGCTCTCATTCTCTGTTCTAGTTTATGTGATACTCCCCTGTTGAATATGCATTGACCTTCTGTTAGATTTTCTGTTGCCTTTAATTACCATTCTATGAATATTTTCATGCATGCCATGTGAACTAGATATGTTTATAACTTTGTCAGGTATATATGTTTGATCTTAACAGATTTATTTTGTCAATTTTATTAGGTCGTTAGAGTTGTTGCCTTGACTTTTAAAAACTTGCTGTCAAGAGGAACATGGGGTACTCAAATGGTCGACCTTCAGCTGCCACAAGTTGTTCAGAATTTGAAAGCACAAGCGTGGAGTGATGAGGTCAGAGAAGAAGATGGACCTAAACTTCACTTGCTTTTGCTGCAAATGTACTTATTGTGCTGTGCAAATAAAAATGTAGTTGGTCTAGGCGTCTGTCGTGCAGAGATTAATCATTAAGAATAAGCATTAGAAAGTACTCTTAAATCATTAAGAATAGTTTCAATCTTGGCATTTATTGCTGTAGTTACTGTCATAACATATTTGCTATTTTTTAATCATTATGCTGTTTTAGATATGGGTCAGACCATTGTGACAATACTTGCAACCTTCGGATTTAGTTATATACGTGTACACTATGGTCTGTGGCAACAATGAAGTTACTAACTGCAGCTTGCACTTCTGTTGATGGATACCCTGGTCTCAATTTTCAAAGTATTGCCTCCGGATTAGAAAGCACATATGTTTCTTCATGGATGTATTCAATAGTTATTTCAGATCTGATTAGATCCATTGGCCACTGAAAAATTTAAATTCATCTCCTTCTCTTCTTTTATTTTGTATGTTTATGCACAGGCATTCCTGAAGTGTGTCGTCAACTCACTTGCATACCGAGGGATGTTCACAAAGCATGCACTTTTCTTTGATTATGAAATTCCTCTATATTAGCTTTTCTCTTTGGCTTGAATTGGCCATATTTATGACGGACATATTTTTTTTGCTCGAATTATCTGAGATTATGCATCATGAAGTTCGTGAAAATCTCTGGATGTTGAGTAGCGCCTCTTGCTGTATTTCCTTTGGATCTGATATACTTCCTGGTGCTTTCTGAAAACACTTTTATTGACATTGAGTTTGTCGTAGGACTTGTTGGAGGCACTAAATTACCTGGAAGAAGGGCTTAGGGATAACATTAAGAAACTAAGTTCTTTTGATAAGTACAAGCAAGAAGTTCTTTATCGAAATCTGGACTGGTCTCCCATGCATAAAGATCCCATATTTTGGCGAGAAAATATTACCAACTTCGAAGAGAATGACTTTCAGGTATCTCTCCACTGAATTTTTTCTCACGTCACTTATTTAATCATGCACAATGCTTTGAATTAGTTTCAAGGCAATTTGAGAATGTTCTGAACAAAAAAATTGGGGTAGCAGAGATGAGAATGTTGAGATGGATGTGTTATATGTGATCATATGGGGAAAAAAAAATCGTAATGATCATATATGAGAAAGTGTTGGCATGGCATTTATAGAAGAGAAGATAGTAAACAATCATTTAAGGTAATTTGAACACACAAGGAAGTGAATGAATGTGATCCCTTGGTGAACAGTATATGTAAAAAGTTTTAGAGCACCATGACATTGTGTCTTTTGTTTAATCAATCCGGCCTAATGGGATTAGACTTGTTATTATTGTTGTTGCTGCTTTACATGTGTCTATTGGCCTTTGGTGGGATTATTTCTTAAAAGAAGCCTTCCATTGCCTTCCGAAAATGATCTGGAGCAAATTATATATAGATAGCTAGAAAGCAGGTGATTATCATACACAAAATACTTTTCAGCAACTAGATAGAATTGTCCTTAATTGTTGCATGTTCATTAATTTTACCATGATATATAATTTTCTGAGAAGAGTTTAATCTATGAATGTGCTGATATTGTGGACCTATGTTGCAGATTCTAAAAGTCCTAATAACAATTTGGACACGTCTGAGCAGCCGAGGACTCTCGCTGTTGCTTGCTTTGACCTTTCCCAGTTCATAAATTACCATCCTGCTGGGAGGGTCATCGTGACGAACCTTAAAGCCAAAGAACGAGTCATGAAATTGATGAATCATGAGAACGCCGAGGTCACTAAAAATGCCCTGTTATGCATCCAAAGGCTTTTCTTAGGTGCCAAGTTTGCAAGCTTTTTGCAAGCCTAGTTCTTTTCTGCTCGGCGATGGCAATTTCATTCATCAACTCTACAGCTAGCTCGTATTGGCGTCGACTCCCTTCTGTACCACTATGTTTATTCGTTGTTTTTTTTTTCAAAAAAAAAATAATTTATTGACTCTGGCCATTATGATGTCGGTTTGGAAGCAGTGAACGAATTTGACGTGAGAAATAAGCATCTTTACCTCTTAGTCATTGAATAAATCGACGTTTTGTAAGTTAATAATGCAGGGTGGCTGAATATTTCCGGAATGAAGGTTTTTATGAAATGTTGAAATTAATGAGTGAGCATCTCAAGTTGAAGTGATTATATTAAAATATTTCCAATTTTAAATTTATTTCAACTGATTTTACTTATAAAATTTCAAGGAGATGTTAAATAATAATACTCTCTTTCCGTGGCTCTCTGTCATGATGGGGTTGTCTTTCTCTCCATTTACCTCTTCCTCCACTTCTCTACTATGAATTTTGAGTGGTCTAAATTTAATATTTTATAAAGTAATTTTTTAATTTTTATTAACTATCCCGATTGAATTTTAGCATTTTAGACACATCAATTTATTTTATATTTTAATGATAATATACTAAAATATCAAATATGAATCATTTATATTTTACTTGATATGTATAGCAGAAAAAAAAAAATAACTAAATGGAGAGGAAGATGATCTCTTTAGTTTGGGAACTGTGAAATCAATAACAGATTTAGATAACTTGGGGGTTTAGCATCGTGAAGGTGAATTAGTAAATGACTAATGTTTTAAAAGTATATTGACCGTTAATAGACTGGTTTGATTGAGTTGAAGCATTACTTCAATAGTAAGATATGATTTTAGGTCGGAAGTAAGTGGAATTGAGGCTAATTATGCTTCTTGTATTTGAAAAATATTATGTGACATTTTTCGTTTAGGTGAAATTAACAAGAAATTGATGAAGAGAAATTAGGAAAAACCAACTATTCTTCTTTCATAATTTTTTTAAACCCAATTATATAATTTAACTGTAAAAGAATGTTGTTTGGTATTCAACAACCAGCACGAGAAAACCTGCCCCTTCAGCAGTTCTCAGGGGGGATCCTGTCTCGGTATTTTCTATCTCTGACACTTTTTTAGGAGTTTCACTAATTAATTAATTTGTTTTCCGGCAAGAGACTATTTGATGCTTCACACAATATAAAGATTATAACGATTATCTCTGACAAATGGAAGTTCCCTGTGTATAGTGCTGCAACATTCCATATTCTAATTCCCAGTCGGCTATATCAATATTTTCTATATCCTCGTCATGATCCCCATGTCAGTCTCACTTGCCTACTCCTCTCATTAAATCAATTTCTTATCGTATCAATTTTGAAACATGGAAACTATAATCATCAAAATTTCAGAAAACGAAATTAATTCTTTCAATAAATAATTTTTTTATAAATTAAAATTACTCTTAAGATACTTTAATTTTAGAAGAGTACCTGTATATTCTTGGAAGAAGAAAAAAGTGCTCCATAAATTTGAACATTAACAAGGGGAAAAAAAAGTAATTTACTCAATAAAACGAGGGAGAGGAGAATGAAGAGTGTGAAAGAAATATAATCCTCTATCCTTAATATAGAATCTAATCGTTAAGTTGATATTGGTCTAAATGTAAAACCTATTTCTTATATTTATCAATTTCTCCTAAATTATACTTATTGATACTTTCTCAATTATGATCAAGTAGAAGGGAATGAAAGAATATTAAGAAAGATGATTTGGGGTTTTAGAAAAAGCATATCATAGTTCTTATAATTAACTAATTTATCCAACTTTCTTAATCTAATCAAATTAGTTAAGTAGTTTATTTTGTCTTCGCTTTCCCAAAGCAATCTGTAACTAAATGAATGTTTCAACATGCTAAGCTGAAGTCGTGACTGTGAGTGCTGATGCTGCTATTTGCATAAACGTTCGGCAGTCAAACATATGATCGTTGCTCTGTTACTCTGTTCTGTATATCAACCTCTATAGGTTTTTGTCAAAGCACAGCAAGGGTTGATTTACCAGATTTAATTTAATCATTTTATTCTCTTTGTCCCTTGAAATCTTGTGAAGACATCAAACTGGTTTCGTCTTCACGCGTATTCATTCTGCGGTACAATATTGTCTTCCATATCAATGATTCTCAGTAGAAACGTCAAAATCTAAACCTGCACAGACGTCCATTCATTGTCTTGTGATATAAAAATGATCGACTTGTGTTGAGATTCACTACATTTGGCCTAAGTTGCTTGTCTTCCTAACCTCTCCATTCGCAGTTTTCCACACCCAAAAATGGCAGATCGCTTCTTCCTTTTCTCTGCAAATCTTTTTCTTTCAGTAATTCTTATCTTTTCCACTTCACACGGAGCAGCTCAACCACAGAACAATAACAAAGGAGCAAACTTTTCATGCCCTGTGGATGCACCTTCTTCCTGTGAAACCTACGTCACATACTTTGCTCAGTCTCCCAATTTTCTGAGCATAACCAACATATCTGATCTGTTTGGGATTAGTCCTCGGTCAATAGCAAGGGCTAGTAGTATAGTGTATGAGGATAACTACAAGCTGTTTCCTGGCCAGCTCTTACTTGTACCCTTGACTTGTGGCTGTACCGGAAGTCATTCATTCGCTAACATCTCCTATGTCATGAACAAAGGTGATAGCTACCACTTTGTTTCAACCTTTTCGTTTGAAAATCTCACCAATTCGCAAGCAGGGGAAGCTTTCAATAAAACTCTTAACCCACATCTCGTGCCAATAGGGAGCAAGGTAATTTTCCCTTTGTCCTGCAGTTGCCCTTCAAAGACCCAGTTGCAGAAGGGGATCAAGTTTCTAATCACCTATGTGTGGCAAGCCAATGACAATTTGCCCACTGTAAGTTCAAAGTTTAATGCTTCTTCAATGGACATAGTAACTGTAAATAACTATCCGAACTTCACAAATTCAGCCAGCCTTCCAGTTTTGATCCCTGTTAGAAGCTTACCTGCACTTTCCCAGACTTACCCTTCATCTCAGAACAGCAACAAAACAAAACATCTTCTCATGTTCATTGGTACATTTGTAGGATTCGCTGTCCTGATTGCTCTTTTATCGATTCTACTATATGCTTACCGTATGAGGAAGAAAAGAATGGTTTTGAATAGAAAAAATTCGACAGTAGATAAGCTACTTTATGGTGTTTCTTGCTATGTAAGTAAGCCAATCATGTACGAAGCAGGTGTGATCATGGAAGCTACCAAGAAGCTTAATGAAAGGTGCAGGATTGGGAAGTCAATTTACAGAGCCAGAATTGAAGGGGAGGTTGTAGCAGTGAAAAAAGTGAGGGACCAAAATGCCAAGGAAGAGCTAAGAATTATGCAGAAGTTGAATCATACAAATCTGCTGAAATTAAGGGGTGTCTCTTCAGACAATGATCGAAATTACTTCCTAGTTTATGAATATGCGGAAAATGGGTCTCTTGATAAATGGCTTTATCCTGGGTATTCTTCAGGCTCTATGTCCCCTCTCACATGGAATCAGAGGATAAGCATAGCACTGGATGTCGCCATGGGTCTGCAGTACCTGCACGATCACACTCAACCCAGAATAGTCCATAGAAACATCTCAACAAGTAATATCCTTCTAGACTCCAAATTGAAGGCCAAGATAGCTAATTTCTCCATGGCTAGAACTTGCACGAATCTTGTGATGCTCAAAATAGACGTTTTTGCATTTGGGGTTGTTCTGTTGGAGTTGCTCACAGGGAAGAAAGGCATGGAAATGAATGAAAAAGGGGAGGTGATGATGCTGTGGAAGGAATTTATGGCGATATTTGATTTGGAAGAGGGAAGAGAAGAGAGACTCAGAAAATGGATGGATCCTGAGCTTGGAAGCTTTTATCCCATTGTTGATGCTCTTGGCTTGGCTTCTCTGGCACTGGCTTGCATAGTGGGCAAGTCTATGTCAAGACCAACCATGGGAGAAATCGTTCTGAGCCTCTCTCTTCTCACTCAATCATCTTCTGATGCTGCCGCCTTAAAGGGATCTGGCACATTAGATTTCGAGGTTGCTTCACTGAACAGTCCTATCACAGCTCGTTGATGAAGCGACAAGGTCGCTTTGTTAGAGAAACTGTGGGTAAATTTTTTTTTTTTTTTGGGGAGTATTTTGGAAAGCCTGAACACTTTGTAGTGTAACATAAAATAGAATAAACTCAGTTAAAAAAAAAAAGTAATAAAATAGAATATACTCATCACTTGCAGGTATTATGGGTCCCAAATGGAACAAACAAATATATATAATAATCAATCGGCAGCAACATTACAATGATGCTAACATTTTTCTTGAGGTACAATGCCCATAACTATATATGCACATCACAATGATGCTTCAGATTCAAAATCCCTGCATTGTTTGAAGTCAGCACCTCGAGGTTTTACTGCATCGTAATGCGCCTGCTGAGATAGTCAGTGGCCTAACACATGTAGCATCTGCGACTTTGAACCTTTGTTCAGCGTTATAATTAGGCTTTGGCACGTGTCCACCTTGTGTTACAGCGAAGGAAGCTCCGTTCTCAAAGACGTCCCTCACTGAATAAAATTCTGATGCTTTCTCATTTCCATTACTACTTTTTCTCCACGTCACCTCTTTATTCCCCGAGGTTGGTGCTATGAAGAGGTTAGCTTCACTTTTGAGGCTGGGCTCCATGCTGCCACCAATGGCGTATTGCATCCAACCTTGGTACAGATTGTTGGCTACATGAGCATACCCATGTCGTATCCTGAAACATATGTAAATTTATAAGAATGTTTGTTACAATTACGTACTTAAATGCATTTTCTGATGATGAAGATGATGTTGATTTATTATATGGGATCACCTGGGCATGCGTTGGTTGCAATTAGGTCCAAAATGGTTGTAGACTACAGTGACCTTCATGTTCTGGTCTCTGACGTAGCCATCATCGTGCCCAAGAAGCATAACCTTGTCTTGATCTCTGAACCAGTTATTCGACACAGTCACGTCAGTAGAGCCTCTTGTGACGTCCAGAAGGCCATCTGAGCATCTATAGAGAGTGTTGTGATCGATCCAAATCTTCGAAGCCGAAACCAATCTGATTGCATCTCCATCTACCTGACCCAGAGATATCACCTTCCCTTCACCACCCATTACCATCCCTGGACCTTGAGGCTTGCAGTGATGGATCCGAAGTCCATGGATGATTATGTTAGTTGCCTATAAAAGCAAAATACATGCATCATTTAACTGTACGGACTTTAAGCCTGTGATTCAATATGGAAGTAATCGATATATATATATATATATGACTACCTTGTGGATCATCAAGCAAGCGTTATGAGCAATGTGGACTTCAACGCCTCGGCCATCAATGGCAGTGAAGCTGCTGATGAGAAGGGGTCTGGCAAGGTTGATGCGCATGTCTGTTTGGAAGGTGATCCAGACTTTGCCTTGGATCACAGAGGCTCCGTATCTCAAAGTTCCGGGTTTCGGGTTAACGGGGTCGTCACTTGGATCCGTGACTTTATAGTGGACAACATCCTTCCCAATGTTATTTGTCATCTTGCCTGCGTAGCCCACAGAGCAGGTGGCAAGTTGTGTTCTGTGTCTCCTCCATTCTGGCTTCAATCTCCAGCACTGGTCAATCACATTCATTTTTAACCCACTCATCACCTTTGCTTGCTTCGCATCACCAATCTTAGCGAAAATGGTCACAATCACTATTGTCAAAACAAAGCGCCAAACAGAAGCCATGATAAGAAATATATCCAGACTTGTCCTTAATAATGGTATGATATCTGGATCTCTGTAGCTATGTGTTAGTTTACTGAGGAGAGGAATTTTGGAATGAAGAAAAAGTGGAGGGGGGAAGGGATTATATAGGATGAAGTGGTTAGTGTTTAGTGTCCAATAATAATAATAATCTAGGGATAGAAAGGGGGAGGTTTTCTGTTTTTGGTTATTACTACCAAACTCAGGTAGTGAAAAACTAACAAATAGCTAATTTTGAATTTGTATCTGGTACAGCTATACCTGTATGGACAAAATTCATCAATAGTTGTTATATTGTAGTTACTGAAAGATTCATTTCGGCCGAAAATGAAATAGCTGTACGTTACGAGTTAATTGTAATGATGAATGAGGACTACTGTACAACACATTGCGAGTCCAGTGCTCATGGACGAGAGTCCTCTACGGCTTCATTTAGCGAAAAGTTGGAACCGAATAATAAGACACGGCAAATCATATATAGTAAAGGAGAATATATGGATATGATCTCGTGTGTGTGTGTGTGTGTGTGTGTGTATATATATAATACAAATTAAATAGAATCTGAGACCAAATGTATAATTTAAGCATTGCCTCAGCTTTATTGGGATGCTCTTTTGCACTATTTCCTTGTTCTTGTATAATACTACCTTTGGTCCTTAATATAAGACCTTGTTTGATTTTTATTTTGGTCCTAAATATAAGACCTCAATCCACTTTGTCTCTCATAATTTATGTATTTTTTCCAAGGTAATCCTTCTAACAATAGTAGTTCTAGCCAATATACTTAATTAGTAAGGATATTTTAGGAAAGACAATACCTATTTATTATAAATAACTAACTTAATTTATTTCTTTAATCTTCTCAAATTAAACAACTAGCTCTTATAATTAGAACTGAAGGTAGTAGAAATTAAATACACACGGCACTTGGCCCCATATAAGAATGATTGGAAGTTAATAGTATTTATTCCTCCATCATTCCACGAAATTGGACGATTCAGATGCTTCATTAGTATTGGTGGAGACGAAATATCCGAATTCGTTTTATTTATTTATTTTCTTTTTATCATCATCGGATATAAATGACTGATGAGAGGTTCCATTAAGCAAGTGCCATGCCACCTTGTCTTAGATAAAATTGTATGGAGAATGTGTGTGTGTGTGTGTGTGTGTGTGTGTTTGAAGTGTTGTTTACTTGTTTTTTGATATTGAAGAAATTAATCAATGTAGTAAATATTATTGTAAAAGAAATTTCATTCAAACTGATGAAGCGGCATATATGATGGAGAAATTGAAGAGAAGGCCTGAGATATTATATTTCATGTTTTTTCTCTACAAAATTACAAAACCCAGAAGTTAAGAATTAAGTGAAGGAAGTATATAAACTATTTTAATTATGATTAAGGAAACAATGTAGTTGAGCAAACCTTAGAAACATAAATCAAAGTGGCACAGCCCAAAACTTCTTAGTGTGTATATGTGCTAAGAGATTAAATGTTCTTATAAGCGGATGTTAAGGTTCAAATATATATGTAATTTCTTTAACGCTAAAAAGTTCATCCTAGTATGATATTCTGTTTGACTTGTTTCCATTTGCTTTCGAGTAGAGCTAGTAATATGGATTAAGCCTGTAGGTTGGATTGATATAAATCAAGCTCATTTTAAAACGGATTTTTCGTGCGCGTAACTACCAAGATCGAACCTGAGACGGCCTAACCCATAGGGTTGGTGGGCCGGCTCTTTTTATTTTTTTTTAAATTTTTTCCCTCCCTTCAGATATAATTATGTTTATTCCTTTGGTCCTTTATCTTATTCTTATTATTTAAAATTATCATAATGTAATATATCTTTTACTTTATATTATGAATTTTACTTATAACAAAGTTAGTTGAGCAAAAAGAAGGTGATTCTACTTATGAAGCTTAACCAAATAATTTCATATCTTCATATCATTCTTCGAATATCAACATTGAATGGTGGCTCATGGCTGAGCACTTGACAGTGATTTATAAAATTACGTTTGTATTATTATTAATTTAGATTTGTTATGTTTTAATTTGATATGTTTCTTTAATCATTTAGTATAATGTATCATGTATGCTTATAGTGATATTTTGGAATATTAGGAACTTTAGATTTCATATTTTATTTATGATAATTTTTATATACATATTTTATTTTAAGTGTTTAAAAATTGGAATAAATTTTATTTTAAAAAAACAAAAGGCACAAAAAAATTTTTAAAAAAAAAAAAGTAACGGGTTGGCAGGCCTAACCCACCAACCCACCTTGGTAAGCTGAGTTGGTAAAATATCATCCCACTAGAAGTCCATCCTTTTAGAATCGGCCCCTCAGTCCTTGAGCCCGTCATAGACCAACCCATAACCAGCAGGTTGGCCTGTATTATCGACTCTATTTTTGAGTGTTGGTATTTTCTCTATTTGCTATTAAACTGATGACTGCATCATATATAATTAAGGAATATAATCACAGATATATAGTGTAATGGTTTTGTTTCGAAGCAAAATGTCAAATTTGTAACTAAGGGTGTGTTTGGATAGAAACCAAACTATGGTTTTAGAAGTGCTTTTACGGATTACGAAGTAAATATGTGGAGGAGATTATCTCGTTTTGCGAAAAAGTGCTTCTGAAACCATGGTTTTGAGATACCCAAACAGGCCCTAATTTGAAATGACATGAAAAAAGGTTCACGGAATTTTGGAGGACATATATTTTAACTTTCATAGGTCACGTTTTTAGATCTGGCATTACCACGGATTGACCGTGATTATATAAATATATATATATATATATTTTCAGATGCAATATGATCAATGCGTCTTTAAAAAGCCGAAAGGGATGGCAGCTTTGTCTTCTTTTGAGTCTCCACTTTACTTCAGTTTTAAGAGTGCTTCTGATATAATCTGATGCATTCTCAAAGTTTCAAGTCATCTCATGACACATTGACCAATATAGTCCAGTACTTGAGCCTGAACCTAGCAAAAAGTGATCGATCACTTGTGTACCTGCTTGTAAGGGGGCTAACAAGTTGAATTTTTATAAAGTACTGCAGACCAAAAAACTGTTTCTCCCCCAAATTATAAAAGGGATTGTTGCATATATGGTTCCAGAAGCAATAATTTTTTAGGGGAATGTGTGCGCTCCTCAAAAATAGTTCATTCCCTCCCTAACCAACTCGCATATAATAACTGGATGATATATATATATATATATAAAATAACTAGGCGTAAACATTGGGCATCTCTATACATTAATGATTTAAGAACAAGGCATATATATACACACACACACTAATTAATAACATAAGATCAATCCATACTATATTAATCGTATTTGCAAAAAGAGGTTCAGAAGGTGGGACATAATATATAATGAGGTGATGAACAAGCAACTTTCCAAAAGATAGACGATACCATGGACTGTACTTGTGGTTTGATTTTGGCGCTCACACACACACACACGCACACACACATCTCAGGCCATCATTTGAAGGAACTCATTGAAATCCAGCACTCCATTGCGATCCACATCAAAGGCATTGATCATTGCCACGCACTCATCGTACGACTTCTCGTCTCCCATACGATGCAGCATCCTCTGCAACCCTTTTGGTGTTATGGACCCCGATCCTTTGTCCCACTCGAACATCTCAAATGCCTTCTTCAGATCCTCGTCTTCTTCCTTCGTCATCAGCTTCATGAAATCTTCCATGTCCAGAAGATTGTCTCCGTCTGAATCAAGGTCACGGATCACCCCTTCCGCCTCTTCGTGGGTCAAGTTCTCCCCAATGGACCCGAAATACGACCTGAGTTCATAGGCGGATATTTTGCCGTCTCCGTTGCCGTCGAAACGGCGGAACACCTCCCTCAGTTCATCCTCTCTGGTAATAGGCTTTGGGGTAGATGGTGATGATGACATGGGAGAGGTTGAGGGGTTGGAGGATCTTGATCTGGGTTTTGACTTTGAGCGACCAAGACTGAGTCTGAGACCTGTGTTGGAGAACCACTTGGAGGTGGACGCCATGAACGTAATTGATTGGATAGGGGAAGAATTGGTGTAACTTGTATATACGAAAGGGATTGAGAGAGAGAGAGAGAGAGAGAGAAGAGGATGATGAGGAAGAAAGGATTGGGTATTGAGGATGAAGTTGCGATGAACCTGCAAAAAGGGGGCAGAAGAACCGGGATAACAGAGACATCAGACATGTCAATAAAGCTTACGTGACTTCGCTGCCTCCCAGGAAATTGCATGGTAGCTTCCTCCCGGGGCCCCACCTTGCAACCACACTAAGAAATGCCTTTCGTGGCATTGAACGTACCTCCATTTTGTTAAGATGTCACGTGTCAGTAAATTTAATTTGACGTGGCAAGAAGCATACAAGTCTTCCATTCAATTAAGTTTTTTTTTGTCAGACTTCCATTAAATTAAGTTGAAAAAGATGTAAGATTTAGGGTTAATGTTAATTATAACTAACTGACAACATTTAATCTGGTTGGCGTTGTACCTCCATTTTGTTAAGATGTCACGTTAAAAATTTTGATGGCTTTGTGTACAAGCTCATCCTTATTTATAAGAGTGTACGTACTCATTTTGACTCTAATCTCACGAGCCTTTAGTTTCCTAATGTCGTCCATGAAGGCATTGATATATTTCTTAATTTCCTACTTACAGCTGTGCTTTTCACTTTCATGTACACTCTTATGAATAGGATCTGTGATCTTTTAATTTATACCTCGGTTTGCATCATGCTTAAATCAATTTTTTGAGATTTACGAATAACCTTTTTCCTTTTTTTTTTTTAATGTTCATTTGTTTTGTGATGTATGATTGATCTATCTCCTCTCTCTGTTTTTTCCTAAAATAATTTTTAATATTTTATGATTTCAAATCAATGTGTTATTCATTCACAAGTTACTCCATTATTTTGCCAAATTAATTTATCAATTCAAGCACGGCACTTGCTTCCAATACATATATAGACACCCTAATCTACTAGCATTCTTAAAGTAAAGATCAATATAGATGTTACTTGGGAAAAATAACATCTATTTGAATCGTATGCTCCCAGAAATAGAACAAACATATATATATATATATATATATATATATATATGCTTACATGGTTAACTCATGTCGGCTGAAACGTCCTCCATTTAATCCCCCGTTTCATTTCCTTCCGTCCATTTGGTATAGCTGAACTGCCAGAAACCAACAAGTTAATGATTTAAAGCAACCAGAGAAACGCCAATCAACTACTCCTCTGATCCAATTTATTATACATGTAAGTATATATCTTTTCTTGTAATTTTCTCCCTAACGTGTAGATTAATAAAACGCGCTGTTTTCATCATTTCATATCTCAAATTTCTTCTGAACAGTTCTGAAAAATCATCCATTCACTAAAATGGACAGAGTGCAACGAGTCTCGTCTCTAATGCCATTCATAAGGCTCCACCTCACACAGCTGAGGTGAAGGTTGATCAAAGATTTATTATTCTCAATACTTCTTTTTGTTTTTGCCAACAAATATCCCGTTGGTGTCTGGGGTAGGTTCTGTAGCCAAGTCCAGCCCAGATTAGTCCATACTGGGCTGGGCTTGAAGTAGGTGGAAAGTCAGTCCAATGCAAAATTTCAACAAAAATGAAGAGAAATAACTGTTCCAATTACATAGTGCAAGGCCAACAGCTTGGAATTATAGCTTAATTGTATGGTTAATCCAATTATCGAACTTCTTTGTCCTGCATAAAATTAAGCATGGTCGGAAACCCTTAAAAAGGGTTGTGAAAAAAATAAGATGAAAGTAAATAGTAAAACATTAGTTATTTCAGAGGAAGAATTAATGACAAATAAGAAATTCCTAAACAGATTTTATAATATGTTTTACGTTTTAATGTACTTCAATATGTTTGGCTTTATACAAATTTAATTTAATTAGTGCCAGATTTATAATGTGCACTGAAATTCTAAAATAATTGAGGGGGGAAATTATAAAATTTAGGGGTGGCAATATCATAATAATATATATATACGTGCGTTTTGGGGGGCTAGAGAGAGTTTGTGTTTAATACGAAAATCTGTAGAATTAAGCGGGAACAGTTATTCACTTACTCAACGGACGAAAAAGAAACAAGAACGTTGAAAATGATCAGAAATGAATATTTCAAGGATTTCGTAGAAAACTGAAAAATCTAACCACTTAACTCGTCTTCTCACAGTTTTGCCATACAATAAAGGGCCTATATTTATTTGTTTGTTTTTTCTTAATGAGTAATTATTATATGTGTGAGAATGCAAACGCGTGGAGATATAGCTGGAGAAGACGAACTAAGGCGGGGCACCAGAAGTATGCAGTGGTGAGTTTGGGGATTCTCATTGAGGAAGCTTATTGAATTTGCGGTGCCGGTACTCGGCATAGGTTTTTGTTGAAAATTTGGGTGGGTTCCCTTGGTTCACCAGCGGCGGAAGAGGCCCGATCACCGCCTCATGCGGTGGCGCCACAAATACCGCCCACGACATCCGCATCCTTTCCTTGTTCACCAAGGTTCTGTGCAGAACACCCTTGTACTTGCCATTACTTAGCACCTAATGATAACCACCCCAACATAAATATCAATTCAATTATGCATGCTTGTCGAGCAACGATAATAACGTCCGTGGCCTCTGCTTTGCCTGCAGGAAATGTATGTTACCTCAAGTTGATCGCCGATGTGGACAAAGAAGGCGTTCTGCAGGTAATCGACGGCTACCCAGCGATCTTGGCTCCAAACTTGAAGGCCGGGAACATCGTTGGGGATGAGGAGGGTGAGGGCTGCCATGTCGGTGTGAGGCTCAACTCCCAAAGCGAGCTCTGGCTGTGGGCATGGCGGATACATGTTTATTTTCATTTCCATTTCCATATTTTCATCTCCCAGGCTGCTTCTCAATGCCTTCTTCTCCAGCCCCAGCCCTTCCGACAGAAGCTCCAGCACCTTGTCTGTTAAGCTCAACAGTTGTTTGGTGTATTCTTCCGTTACTTCCCTGAAATGACGTAATTAATCTCCACATAAGAAAAACAAGTTAATTGATATGACTAATCAAGCTCTGTTTTTGATGTTCCGCCAACAGACCTGTACGAAGGAGGGTTCTTGGGCCACATATCATAGTTGACCTTGGAAGGAGGAGTCATCATATGGAAGTAGTAATCAATCCACTCCACCTTCTGCTGGACATTCTTGGTCATCTTTGTGCCGTAGCCTTCAAAGCTTCCGGTGGAAGGGTCGTTTGCGTATGCCTCTTTCTCTTTCTGAGGCAAAGAGAAGAACTGCTGGCCCACCTCTTGTAACTGGCTGATCAAAGTCGGCGATATTCCGTGATCGGTGATGAGGAAGATCCCCCAATCAGAGGCAGCTTCGGCCACTTGCTTGACCAAAATGTCGTGGGGGAGAGACAGAGAGATGACGGGCACCGTCACACCCTCCACGGCTTTGGTATTCTCTGGCCGTTCATCGGCCGGGCGGATAAACTGAGCAGGAAGCTCCTTCAACAGCCCAGAGGCCAAGCACTGAATTCTTTCAACGTCCATGTATGATATGCGGGAGTTTTGGATATTGATAATGAAGTGAAGTCTTCAAGTCGGATAACTTATTTTATGGTGAGATGGTTATATATATGGATGAGCCACGAAGATGAATGCTGAAACCGCCCGCAGCCAAGGAAGTTTGTCAAAACTTAATTGACACTAAATGCAAACGGGAGTTATTGAATTAATTTATAAAGATGTGACCTATGCTGATTGTTAACTGTAGCCTCCTTAGACAGAATGTAAAGGAATGGGAGTTCCAATAAAATGAGCATTAAATAATCAAGATCGAGATTAATAGGAGAGAAGACGACATATAGAACTCGCAAATGAAAAGGTAATAATGATGAGGTAACAAGATGTAAAATTAATTAACATGTAGAGTTATTTGTATAGTCATGCTATGTTTGTCAGATTTGGTATTAGAGCCTGATTTTACCTTTCTTTTGGCTCGCACAAGACTTCCAAAACTGCACTCAAAATCCCCAAAGCCTGTTTCAATCTTCAAGTCGCTGCTCCTGCAATGGTTTCTCTCCGCATTATGACGATAAGTCCTAGCTCACCCTTCTATTGGGCTCAATTTATAGGTCTGACTTTGACAAAAACCCCAGAGGCTTGACAATCAATGCTGTTGGGCCTCCAAGATCCTTAAACATCATGAATGTTTTTTTTAAAAAAAAAATAATATCTGTGCTCGTTAAGAACTAGTTAATTAATTTGAGTAGATTAAAATAAATAATTAAATTAGTTATTTATACTAAATAAGTATTTTTTATTATTTTTTCTAAAATATCTTTGCTAATCTAGTATATTGGCTAAAACTACCATTATTACAAGTACTACCTTGAAAAAAAATAGATAAATATGAGAAACAAAATAGATTGAATCTTATATTTAAAACCAAAATAAAATTCAAATGAACTCTTATATTAAGGATTAGAGGTAGTATTTGTTTGATAAATAAATTTGATATTTTTTATGTTATGTCAAAAATTAAAAAAAAATGATAATTAAAAATCTTGAAGGTCCGACCATATTTAATCTGTCAAAATTATAAGGATTAAAATTCGCAAAGAAGAAAAACAAAACAAAGGGGGGATCAAATAAAGTACAGAGGCCCATAAATTAAGATTGAGCCTGAGAAAAAACATAATAAATTAGTGTTCAAATTTTTTCAAAAAAATAATGTCCAATAATGCCTTGAATAAGATGTTTTTCAATAACAAAATAAATGTACCTAACAAAAGAAAAATGCTTGCAGCTGGCGAGGAGAATAGAGGACCAGGGCCACTTTTTTTTTTATTTTCCTCCTCTTACCCTCTTTTATATCCTAATTACTGGATCAAATTTTTAACAAATTTTTTTTAAGAAATATTAAATCTAAACCAAAAATTCAAAGCATTCTGCCAACTAATACTATTGAAATCTCGTCATTGGATGTTGCAACATCTCTAACAAATTTAATTACAGTTTCACACTGTCCTCGTCGGGCATGAGAACGTACGTCACGTATCTGGGATCTCAAACTGATCCGCGCCCACTATACCAATCTCACAGATCCCCTTAAAATTAGGAACACATTCCATAAATTAAACCGTGGGCATGGCAGACTCCAACACAATTTTTAATAATGCCAAAAACTTCTTATACATAGGTAAAGTAATGTAAAGGGACGCGTACGCAATCATTTGACTGGTTCGCATATAATGTCTCCTCTCCGGAATTGGTTGAGATCTAGTCATAATACGAGTATTATATATGGACTGCATGTGTTCCTCTGCGTGGTGGAGGGATGTGACGACTAAATTCATGGCGCACAAATAATTATGAATCTCATAATTGCAACCTGTTACGATTAATTAAACAAGGGACCTCTAAATTCTATGAACTACAAAAATATGTGCCTCCATGTGCCTGATTTATTCCATCTATAACAGTCATACACTTAACTAGATCCCAACCAACAACAAAAAAATGAATACTAGCAGAATATGTACCTCACTGTACATCCCAAAAAATAATACTTCTCCGGTATAAAACTCATTTTGTAGTCTAAATTACACTAGAAAGTGTTCTTATATTTGAGTACTGATGAGCATCTCACCGTGATCCATAGAAAGCCTGAGTGACTGTGGCGCCACCTCTGCTGTAGGAAAAAGGTAATTGCATTTATGAAAAACAGAATTAAACAAATATGAATCTGGGTAGGCGTCGGACGAGGCGACTCTAGGCTTCCAAAGAGAATGGCGTATCGAGGAGATCATAAGGAGCCCATAACGCATCCAGTGGGCAGGGCCTGTTTGCGTCCAATCGGGCCCAGGGCTTTCCCTTCCCGCTCCAATGCAAGAGGCTCGCCGGGCCCGGGTGCAGCTCCCGGCAAAGTCCCCGGAAGTTGTCTCCTCCCAGGCCGTGCTGGTTCCACCTGTGATCCACCGGAGCTATGTTTCCCGCGAAAACCAGCAAGAACGGCGGCAGTGATCCCAGCTCGTAGATCCGCATTCTCTTCTGCAGCTCCATCCACTCCTCAATCTTCCTCGTGTAATCCCCCTCCCGCCATCGCTTCAGATCGATCACCATCACGCCCGTGTTAAAATAACAAGCCCTCCGACCCGCAAATGTGAGCGACAGAGACGGGTTCGACCAGAAAGACGGCGTGAAGTAATAGGTGAAATTGGCGTTGCAGTATTCCGGCGCGGCGAGGACCGAATGGGAGCCGAGCGGCGTTGCGGCGAGCTTGGCGATGTCGTCGACGAGGACCAAGTCGGAGTCGAGGTAGACGACTTTGCGGACGGACGGAGGGAGGAGGTTGGCGAGGTAGTTGCGGGCGTAGTTGAGAGGGCAGTCCAATGCTGAGCGTATGGAGGAGGAGATGAGGCCTGAGACGAAGGTATCATGAAAAGGGTAGATTCCGAAACGGAGGTAAGGGAAGGAAGTGGAGAGGGTGTGGTTGAGGATGGAGGAGGAGGAAGGCTTGGAGCCGGCGGTGATGAAATGGAATACGATGTTGTCAGGGCAGGAGGAGTGTTGGAGTACGGAGAAGATAGCGGCCATGGAACCTCGAAGGTAGGAGAGGTCGAGGGTCATGGCGACGTGGACAGCGGCATCGTCGTCTTCGGAGGCGGGGCAGGAGGGAGAGTTGTAGAAGCGAGGGGCCTGTTTGAAGCGAAGAGTGGCGGTGGCAATGGTGGGCGGGAAGAAGAAGAGGAGGAGGAGGAGAGAGATGAGAAGAGGGAGGAGTGAAGGAAAAGACATGGCGGAACTGAGAATGGAGAGGGAGGGGGAGGGATGTATAAGAGATTGAGAATGAAGAGAGAGAGGGAAGGGAGAGGAATCCGAGGAGGGAAGGAAGAGATCGAGACGACACTTCTATAGGAGGAGGAGTATCTGTGTATCTTCTTGGCTTTCAACTCAAGTTGATTCAAACCGCCTCCAGCTTCAAACGAACTTTATTTTGTTCTTTTCTCATTTCTCTTATTAGTGATTTATTGGGAGCACTAGAAAAAAAACACGTGTGAAGATGATGAAGGCAGCATATGCTTTACTTCATCCATTTTGTGCAGTTGATTTCTACCTAAAAGAGTCAAAAACAGGCATTTGCGAGAGAATTAATTGGGTCGTAAATGACAGCAGAGCGGCGAGCTGATATTTTTTATTTTAATTTTGTTTGTTTGTGAATCAGGGGCAGTGAAGGGGGATGATAGCTGAAGAAGAGGATTTAATTAAGACGAAAAAGGGGTGGAGCAATATGCTATGCATGCAATTAAAGGAGAATTACAATCAAATCTTATGCAAAAAAAATAACTACTAAAAGGTCTAATAACAATCTGAATAACTTGTAATGACAAATTCTAGAATAGAGAATAACAACTTCTGATACCTGTTTTATAATTTTTTTTCTTTGTATGGACCCTCATTGTAATTCTCTTTATAGTTAATAACAAGTGAAATAAATGAAATGAAGAACAATGCGTTGTAGGAGTGTCCCTAGCTAAGCTAGCTGAAGGGTGAAGGCAGTTCGTAGGAGTAGGTGATTCCAGGTTTTCAAGCGGTTCCTTCATTTTCTGTGGTTCAGCCATCGACGTCAAGGAAAGCTCTATTGCACCCTCTTCATAAGCTTCTATTTATGGACTTTAGAATCCATAATATGCCAAGCCTCTAAAATACTTTTCAACTAAAACCAGGCTTCAAAACAAAGCAATTCCTTCTACTCCTATTTCTTCCAATTTCTCACAAATATTTTCTCACCATTGGGCATTATCTCCTCCACAATTCCAACAATTTTGTACGTGCACAAGTTGTTTACATCTTACTCTGTACAAACAACCAAACTCCAACACTCAGCGCATGTAAATTTAATATAGATAATCATATTCTTTTATATTATTTTTTAACTCGTGTAGTTTTTTTTTGGGGCTATCGAGTAGGTTTCTTATTTAATACAAAATTTGACATTAGTGATTACCTATTTTATATAGTATTATGTAGAAGCACTCCCTTCAGAATTTTTTACAAGTATTTTCTTAGCTTGGAAATATATAAGAAACAACTGGTCATTGTCTTGTGTATTTATTGAAAAATTTTCTTTTCACCCTCCTTAAGAAAAACAATTATCTTCATTTATTAATACACAGAACATGGTCACCATATCAAACAATCAGGAATTTTTAGGGGAAAAAATAACTCTTAACTATATTTATTGATCTTAATTATATTTCTTAATATGCGTGATTTAATTATTTTTTTTATAAAAATGTTAGGGTTGAGTATGTTATTAATTAATTGACTTATTTGAGTAGTCAAATTATTAATATTGTGTGAACAAGAAATAAATTTTCCAATTTATGCTTACTAGTCTCTCACATGCAATTTTTCACTCAACTTAATAGAAACAGAAAAGAGTAAATTTGAAAGAAAGAAAGAAAGTAAGAAGGGTTAGTATAACTTTGATCCATCAAATTTGCATGAATTTTAGTTTTGAATCCTAGAATTTTAAACTATAAGTTTCGGTACTTCAAGAGGTAAAATGATTCAAATTTTTATTAAATTATAAAGATCAATTTTTTAAATGAAAAAAAATTTAAGAAATCAAAATCTATAATTTAAAATTTTAAATACCCAAATTAAAATGAGAACAAACTTAAAAGACTAACAATTGTATTAGCCCAAGTAAGAAATAGTCCATCATCTTTTCATGCAATGACTTGTGAAAAAAAGGGCCATCAGTTTCTGCTGTATAAGAGGATTTGAGAGAAACTTAGTGGTGTAATTAATTTATCTTTCCCACTTTTCCCTTTAGTTAATTGCTGTGAGCACATTTTTAAAAATAAAAAATAAACTGTGTTAAAGTATTTAATCAAGAAAACTACTTTTTTTAATTAAGCATTGACAAAAGTACGTAATTATATACTACCTCCGGTCCTAATTATAAGACCCAGTTGACTTATTTGAGGAGATTAAGGAAGTAAGTTAAGTTAGTTATTTATAATAAATAAGTGTGTCATTCCTAAAATATCCTTGCTAATTAAGTATATTGGCTATAACTATCATTATTAGAAGGAGTATCTTGAAAAAAAATGCATAAATATGAGAGACAAAATGGATTGGAGTCTTATAACTAGGACCAAACAAAAAGTCAAATTGAGTCTTATAATAAGGACCGGAAGTAGTATATTGTATATTCAAGGAGACGGGGGCAATTTACTAACGGCATGGAAGCAAGAGAATGGCGATGATTGAGGAGCAGGGAATACCAAAAAAGAAATAATAATAATGGAAATAATTATTGGGTGGAAGAGGAAGAAGGGGGGAGGTGTCCAATTGTGTCTCATGAAGAGGGTGCTTCTTAATTAATTGCCCCATATTTATGCTTAACAAGATTAGACGGACACCCTTCTTAAGCGGCACTTCTACATCCCCCATCACCTCAAATCTGGCCACCTCCCACCCACGTGGGACCCCTCACATTTCTACACTCCTCAAAAATCATTTTCATATTCAATCAATTATTTATTTTCGCATTATATCATCTTATGTCTTCACGTTCATATGCTCTACAAATAGGTATAAAATGTAAGTTATTTATAATTAATAGGAATCATTCATTATTCATAAGTTATACTAGTAGGTAATGGCATAATTTATTTCTCAGATTTTGTATGACGCTCACATCTATTTTTCTCAGTTTATGTAATTTTGTAACATTGTACTCTAACATTGCGGGCAAAAAAAAAAAATAGAGCAGTAACATCAAAGTAAAAAGATAATTAGATTTTTTACATAATAATATTGATATCAATTCTCTTTGTTAAAAATAGATATATTTAAAAAAAATTTGATTCACTTCAGTTTACTAAATATATATTTAATGCTGATTTAAATGTATAAAATAATTATAGAGATGCTTTGATGAAAAAATTAAAATATATATAACCTTATAGGTTGTTTTGAGAAAGCTAACGTAAAAAACTTTTGTTGGAAGAAAAACCCTGCAATAATATTTTAAAATGGAGAAAAAAAAGTTATAAAAAATGGGCATGCCCTGATGAGAAGGAACAAAAGTTTGAAAGAAAGTGTTGGTTAATTTGAAAGGGAAAGTGACGGCTAAACAAGACATGTGGGTGGGGAATCAATATTTGCTTTGCTCGATTGGTTTTCAATTTAATCCTCACAATCGTGACGTTTACTGACCTTCCCTCTTCCTCATGCTTTAGTGATCTTAACTGTTCATATTTGAAGACTTTTTCCCCCTCTTAGGTTTGGCCGTCATTCACATCTGAAGATTAAATTCCAAGCTTTTTGACATTCCACGACTTTTTGCCATAATGTTAAATATTTATTTCAGTCTAAAATATAACTCATGTTTCTTTATACCAAAAAAAAAAACTTATTTTAATCCAAAATAAGAGTCATATATGTGGGTGACTGGGTGTCCACAGTGTATTAGTGATATTTTTCTTGCTTTGCTCTTGTTAAACAAGAGTAATCAGTGAAGAAATGTAATTCTTTTTTATAAATTTATTCTTTTGTCAGCTTTTTCGACAAATTTAATGAGCTATTTAACTTTTTGGTACTTCCTACCTTACCCTGGTATATGTAAAATATTTTGAATCACTGCTTATTTTATAGCCCGAAGAGATTATTACTGTCAATATTTAACATGAAGCATAAACTTAAAAGTAAAATCCTTATTTTCGAAGGTTCAGATTCTGTAATTTGTTTTACGAAAATGAAAAATTAACTTTCAAATTATGTCCTATCACTAGAAAAGACAAAAGTATTTCTTTTTGAGAGAATTATAATAAAGTTTTAACAAAGAAAAAAAATTACAAAACAAGTCTCAAAGGTTATTATTTTTCATTGTAAAACTTGTTATTACAGATTTTTTAGGTTATTATTAGGACTTTTTAATAATTATTGCTCTTTCTTAAAATTTGATTATAATTCTCCTTTTCTTTTTTGGCCGGAATTTGCCCCCCGCCCCCAAATTTTACAGGACAATATACTATTTACTTCGTCTTTATTTTCTTATCCTGTCATGAGAAAACACATCAATTAAAGAGTCAGCAAAATCTATGCACTACGTAAGAATTATAACTTTTTTCACGTATCAACTCTAGGGCGTAATTCAAAAATAATAAATTATTTTTTAAATACACTTTTATTATTTCCACTCTCTCTCCTATATTTAACAGGGACAAAAGTAAAGAAAAAATCACGTTACTTATCCTAACAACTTCTTATATTTTGTATCACATTTTTTTTCTAACCAACTTCTTATATTATGTACCGGACTAGAGGGAGTTTTTTTTTTTCCTATTTTGTCCTCCATTTAATATCACGCCATTATAAATATTACTTTTTTGGTCATAAATGTAATATGTACTTTGTATTGTAAATTATATTATAAAATGAGTCTTATATTAAGATCGGAGGATTATCCTCAATCTAACATTTATTAACAGAACTAAGTGATAATTATATCTTGAAATTTGGAGCATGACATATATATTTAAGGCTAACATAGGACAAGTAAATGGGGAACAAAAATAATTTTTTTCTTAACCAAAACTAGGCAATGTTCATCTTCCTTTTTATAAATGACTTCCGACATATATTATGAGAATAAAAAAATCTTAAATCTCATTAACTTGATCTTAAAACTTAGCAACTTCTTAAGTTTGCCATTATTTAATATATCAATTTTCCAAAAAATAATAATCCACACGATAATAAATAAAAAGTAAAATAAAACATTCATTTTAAAATGTTAATGATGTGATTTATAAATATGACAAAATAAATTTTTCTCTCCGACTTATAATTAGGACTAATAATTAAAGGAGTATATAGTAGTGCTTGGGTTTCGTTAAAAAAAAAAAATCGAAGTAAAAAAATGGGGAAAATATGAAAATTTAAAGCTGGCGGCAATAAATTGGGGGATTATGGATAAATGACATGTGGTAGATACATTTAAGAGGCAGGCTTGGATTTCAGGATCAGGTGGCAGTTGATGAAAGCAAAGTTGCACTTAATTAACTCCCTCTAGTAGTAATCCATGCCTCTCCAATTATTGGCACGCACCTTCTGGCCTGATCCAAGGCTGTTCTCTGCTTTGAGTTATGCATTAATTGCTCGTGAGAGGGATGTCTCACAAATCTGTTTGAATGATCTTTTTAAATAATTCTGTTTTCTTATTTCTCTTTCAATTAAAAAGACTTGGCATTGATACCCGAATACTCCTGACCTAGTAGTGACTGGCTAGGCCACAAGTGAGGCGAGTCTCTGCTCTTTGAGGGCGGGGGTTCGAATCCTCACTTGTTAAAAAGGGTACCGGGGAGGGCTTTACTTGTCGCCCGACCCGAATCCGGACTAGTCGATCGCTCGGGTACAACTGGCCCAAAGAGGCTGGGGCCCAGAAAAGGCGCGGTTGGATACCGGATGGTTTATATCAAAAAAAAAAAGACTTGGTATTGATATATAAACACACACACACACGCAGATGGGTCTAATTAACATGGAAAGTCGCTTGCCACATGCGCAGTTTTTGTCTAACTGCTTTGTTTTAACCAAACATTTTTTGTTAGCCTTTTGATTCATAATTAATACTACATACTTGGTATTCTCATTTAGTTGTGTACCCACACTCAATTAAATCAGGCTGAGTCAGGCTGAAGAAATTCCACATTCAAAATATGCAGTTGCATCATTAATTAGTTTGGCCTCATTCAACATGTTTTTTAATTAAAAAATGTTTTATAGAAGATTTTTTTTCCTAATAAAAATAATCTCATGATAACTTATATGAACTATACTTTGAAAAAAAAATTGCTTTTAACTTGCGCAATTTTTTATCATGAAAATAACCCAAGGGCATCGCACTAGCCACTAAATGTGAAACCAGAGGCTTGATATATAATTGAGTGTCATATGCCAATGTTAGATTAGACCCAACCTAACGTGGGATATATTTTGTAGTTAGGCCATTCAGAACAAGGTATTCAAATCCACAAGGTATTCCTCTTTTTCCTATTAATTCGGTACCAATGTCGAGTCAAACTGAAATTGAAAGGGAGAAACGGAAGGTCGGGGAGCAAATTGACCGTTGGACATATGTGTGTAGGCTAACCAATGCATATTATTATATAACTAGACTACAAGATTCTTTCATATATTAAGAGTATTTAACTTTAAAATTCAAATTACTACTTGACTCGGGTATTCAATTTATTTTAATAATGCATTAAGTTTGAATCTAGGGAATAAAAAATGAGGAGGGAAAGTTGGATAGAATAATATTAGAAGGCAAAGAAAGGGCCAAGAAAAGGAAGGAGATTAAGAAAGTGCAGAGGTAATAAAAGTGTAGGTTGACTCATGGGAGGCTCAGAAGTCAGAAGAGGACTTCGTACCACTTTTGTTTGGCAGCGATGACAGGCATAATAAATTGGATCTTCTCACTTTTTTCATATAAGTTGACGTGTACCTGAAAGTCTGAAACTTCCTACAATTTTCTGCGCCTCTTCACATTCAATTGCTGCTCCTTTTAAAATTCTCCATCTCCGACTTTGAAACACCTTCGTGGATGACTTGGGGCTTTTCTCTTTCTTTTTTCTTTTTCCTGCTATTTTATTGTAGATATAGGTGCTCTTTAAGCTAACCTTGGTGACTTTGTGCAGAACAGTTTTGGAAACAAAACACTCGCGATACGTAAAGACGAGGATAAGGCCACATGTGTTCAATCGTTCGTTCATTTCAATGCATGTGAATTTAATTATACACCACAAAATATGAAACCTAAGTGAATATGTAAAGCAGGAAAATATAATTGATGGCAATAATTAAAAATAAATATATATAAAATCTAATTAACTAATTTGAATAGATTAATTATGTTAGTTAAATTAGTTAATACTAACTCTGATCTTAATTATAAGACCTCGTTTGTAGACTACAAACAAGATTTTATAATTAAGACTGGAGGTAGTATAATGTGTTTTTTCTAAAACACCATAAATTTTTTTTTTAATTCTCTCTCTTTCTTACTTGATTATTATTATGAGAATATCAATAATGTTAATTTCAAAAAAAAATTGATAAAAATGTTAAACAGGTCTTATATATAGGGCCAACATTAAGTCTCTAATTAACTCATATATTAAGGACCGGAAGAGTAATAAGGTAAGCCGAAGAGCAAAATAAATTGAGTTTGTTTGACAACATATGAAAACGACTGGGATTGCTTCATTTGGTAAATACTCAGCCTATTGATTTAAAGCGATGCTAAGAAGCAGATGGAGGAGATCCATCAACATATGCACATATAGATGCATGTCAATTTAATTTCCATTTTATCTCCTTCATCTTGTGGTTCTATTTTATACACTTGCATTTGAACAAACTGTGACCGATGTGATCTCAAAGTTCTCGCGCTCATTTGTTCATACAGCAGTTCGAAGAAAAAGAAAACTACTGTCAACAAATTCAAATGTGATAAGTGAAGTTAAATACTGTGACCGATGTGATCTCAAAGTTCTCACGCTCATTTGTTCAGACAGCAGTTCGAAGAAAAAGAAAACTACTGTCAACAAATCCAAATGTGATAAGTGATGTTAAATACTATCTCCAGTTCTCAATATAAAAGATAGTTAACTAATTTGAGTGAATTAAAAAAATTAGTTAAATTAGTTATTTGAAATAAATAGGTATTGTCTGTCCTAAAATATTCTTACTAATCAAATGTATTAATTAGAACTATAATTATTATAAGGACTGTTTTAAAAAAAATAAATATGAGGGATAAAGTGAATTAGAATCTTATATTTAGAATTAAAATAAAATTCAAACGATTTTTTATATTAAAGATCGAATGTAGTAATTTTTTTAAAAAAGAAACTACCTCAATGGTTAGTCACAAAGCAACTATATATAATCAACTCGCATTTATGCAGTACTTTTACTCTAGTACGACCGGGTTAGGTACAGATACCACTTATCCTTAGATTAGGGAAGTCGTTGGGTAGAAATAAAACTATAGTTTGAAAAGTGTTTTTACGGTATACAAAGTAAATATACAGAGGAATTTATCTCGATTTGCAGAAAAATGCTTCTGAAAAGTATTTTTAAGGTTACCCAAACACCCTTTAGGTCTCAGGTTCGAACTTGTCGTTGAATACATGTGCGTTTAATTGTTTAAGAGGATCATCTCTCTTTTTTTTTTTTTTTGGGGACCAGCGTTTAAGAGGATCATCTCGAGGACAAGGATACAGATGCAACAATATATTTAGGCAATGAACTAATGTTTGTTGGGGCCTTAAAGCCGTTGTTTTTAATTGCTAATTGAAAGCCCAATTAATTTGCAATTAAGAAGTCCACTTTACCTTAGGAATCCATTCCCCACCATTTCAGTTTCGCAGAGTCAATGAACGTTCGGCCCATGTAGGGAGCCCAAAACACCCAACCATGTGGGCAATTTAGAGCCGGTAATATGGGCCAACCCGCCGATTATGAGTTGGCTCGTGGCGGGCCTGAAGCTTGGCGGGCTAGGCTTTTTAGGACTGCTTTCTGACGGGTTAGAATTTTTTTCAACCCAGCCCGCTCAGGTGGGTTGGCGGGTTAGGCCCACCAACCAGCCAAATTTTGTAATTTTTTTTTACTCTTTTTTAAAAATAAAACTTACTCAAAGTCTCAAATTCCTAAATACGTAAAATAAAACATGCAAATAGAAATTATCATAAATAAAATATGGAATCCATCCAAAGTTTCAAGTTTCAAGTTTCAAATATATCAAAATATTAAACATATGATTAAATGAACATGATATGTCCTTAATAATTTCACAAACATCTCAAATTAAAATATAAATCCAAATTAACACTACCACAAAGTCATAAACACAATGTCACAACACACAAATTACTATCAAGTATCAACTATCAAGTGCTCAATCATCACTCATGAGCTAGGGCAAAGGCACAAAGCAGAGACAGAGAGCGGAGAGCTTGGGACTTGGGAGTTGGGACTTGGGAGTTAGGACTGGCCGAGGGCGATTGGGAGACTAGGTCTGGGAGAGTTGGGAGTTTAGGAGGAGTGCGAAACGCAAGCAAAATGTGAAAATGGGACCGTGTTGGTGTTGCCGTGTTGGACTATTGGACATGGATTGCTCACTGTTGGACTGTGGACTGGGTCGAGAGTGTAGAGACTGAGAGGCAAAGGGAACAATTTGCAAAAAAGAAAAAAAATGTTAAATAGGTTGGCCCGCCGCGGGTTTGGGCTTGGCGGTTATGGGCTCAAAACTTTCATTTTAAAACGGTCCCAATTTTTATCAACCCAACCCGCCACTTGTTGGGAGGTTGGCGGGTTGAGCCGCATATTACTTGCTCTAGTGGGCATAATATGTTGTTTGTCGGCGGGATTTTTTCTTTTTCTTTTTTTTAAGGTAGGGTCATAAATGTTGTTTTTCTTTCAAGAAAATTGAAAGCTGAAGAAATTTTGGATATATTTTTACATATTTTCTTGAGAAAAAAAAACACATTCTTTTGGTAAGCACTTTGATAGATTTATTAGTTATTATCTTTAGTTCTTTTTTTAAAAAAAATTAAATTTCATATCCTTGTATTTTTATTTTTAAATAATATGTCATCTCTTCTGATATCCAATCAAGTAGTTACTGACATATAATAAAATTTCTTATTTTCAGAGCTTTAAAAGTCTGGCCTAATTTTGATGGGTCATAATTTTTTAATATTAGAAAAGCATATAGTTTCCTTGTGCTAAGGGTGTGTTTGGGGTGTCAATCACCCAAACACCCCCTCTAAAAACCAAAACCATGGTTTTGACTCCAAAACCATGGTTTTGGAAAAAGCAAAATTTTTTTGCTTTTAGAGAAAAAAAGGAGAGTGTGAGAGCCTATATGATATGTATCTTGTTATTTTTTTTATAAACATATTTTTTGATAAACATATTTAATCTTATATTTTATAAATATATATACACATTAATTATTTATTAATTATATTATCTTATGTATTATTAATTATGTTGGTAAAAAATATATTATTAACAATTTTATTCCTTCAAATTAAAATATATCATAAAATCTATTTTTTCTGTAATTATCATATTAACTTATGTCTTTTTTTTAGTAATTTGTATATATAAAAAGTGCTTCTGATAACAACTATCTAAACACTCTCACTTCTCAAAATCACTTTTTTACAGAATCTATTCTTCACAGAATCTATTCTCCCCAGAATCTATTCTCCAGAATCACTTTTCCAAACTATGGTTTGGTTTCATCCAAACACACCCTAAGTAAAAGGGGTATATTTGTTATTTTTTAATTAAAATTTAAAAATTTTCAAGGTGAATATATAAATAAATAAATATATATATTTATATATATGGAACCGGCATCTCTCGCTTCTCGAACCCTCCGGCCTAAAAACAGTTATTGTAAAAAAGCATAAAAAATAAAATAGGCGGGGATTAATTTATACGAACAAAACCAGAAAAAACCTAGAAACTTCTACGCGCAATAATCGCCTTTTTAGGGGTTTCGAAGAACATTCACTTTCTCGTTCCAATTCCGCTTCCGTCCCCAATCAAGTTGCCGAGTCTAAAGCAGATTGTAAGATTCGATTTATCAATTCTCTTGTTTATTCTTATCTTCCTCCATTTTCTTGTAATTTTCAATCCCCATTTTGTTTGGTGTGGAGTTCGATGGTCGTTATGTGCTTGTCACCGCTTGGGGATCCCTCTTTTTCTTCATTCTTCGGTGCTTATTAACGCTTCCTATTACCTAACCTGTGCGTTTCCTTTTTGTTTTTCCCCCTTGATTTCGTATTGGTTTATAACGAGCATTTTTTTTTTCTCGTTGGTTATTTTATGGTTTCTTGATTATGCAATCTTGTCCTTTGAAAGAATTTTCTTATTCATTTTCAACTTTAAATGAAGATGGTGATTTCGATGATTCTTATCCTCCCTTAACTGCTGATGATGCTTTGCGTTTTATAGCAGTTCCAGATTTTCCGATGTATTTTAATTTTTTTTTCCATTTATGCAATTTCTTTTTGTTGATGAACAGGGTCTTGTTTGTGCATTTTTGGCCTTAGGGGGTGAGCCATGGCAAATGGGATTGGGGAATCGATGAGCACGTCTTCTCAAAGCCCGTCTTGCTCAGGGAATGGTTCGAATGATGCTGGTGATTTTGAATGCAATATATGTTTCGATTTAGCCCAAGACCCAGTTATCACTCTGTGTGGTCATCTATTCTGTTGGCCATGTCTCTACCAATGGCTTCACCATCACTCGCATTCTCAAGAATGTCCGGTTTGTAAGGCTCTTGTCCAGGAGGAAAAACTGGTTCCATTGTATGGAAGGGGTAAAACACAGACTGATCCTAGAACAAAGTCGTACCCTGGAATGGAGATTCCCCGCCGCCCTGCTGGCCAGAGGCCTGAAGCGCCTCCTACACCAGAAGCCAATCCGTTTGGAAGTTATGGGTTTGGATTGATGGGAGGATTTATACCAACGGCAACAGCAAGGATGGGAAATTTCACCCTTTCTACGGCCTTTGGTGGCTTTATACCGTCGCTTCTTAATATTCAATTCCATGGTTTTCAAGATGCCACTGTCTATGGGACGACCTCTGGGTATCCGTTTGGATTTAATGCCTTTCATGGAGGACCCGCACGTGATTTCGCCCACCCAACTGGTCAGGGGAATCGTCATGAGGACAATGTTTTGAAGAATCTCTTTTTGTTGGTTGGTGTATTGGTCCTTCTTGCTTTCATTTTTGGGTAGTAAAACCATCTTGCGTTTGAGCACAGGAATTGTTGAGGTTCATTATCATTTCTGTAAATACCTAAGAAGTCATTTTCGTTATTCAGATTTTTGCCAGTTTAATTTTTTACAATGTATTCGCGGCAGCTGCACTGCTCTTTTGTGCTTCTTGTAATTGTTATCTCATGGTTTGCTGGCTTTCTTACTCTGTGCCTCATGTTTCTTTGTTTAGCTAGCTAGTGTACATTAGTGGTCTGTCGAGTAAGAAGTTGATGACAGCAGAAAAGAATCAGCATATTTTGTCTGTGTTATTTGGGGTTCTGACTTTTTAAGTCAATAAATCAGAGGGTTCTAAGGTCATGGCTTAAACTGCAGAATGATATACATGTGTGTGTGTGTGTGTGTGTGTGTATTTTTGGTGTTTGCAGAACGATATATATATTTTGGTGTTTACTTCGTTGTTCGAGGTCTTCGCCTAATGATTTTAATTGCATTCGTGCGTAAGTACAATTGGGCTGTTTTCCTTTTCTTGCAGTAACTTCTCTGTATGTGTTTTACTTCTCATGTTCGATCTCACAAAGTTACAATTTGCAGACGTGAGGATTCCTGTGAAGTTTTAAATTGGTAACGAATTCAGGGGTGTAGTTGTAATATCTGCTATTTTATACATCTTTACTTTTTCGACTGAGAAGAGAACAATATATACGCATGAGTAAGAAAGTATAACTTTGGGGGGGCCAAAAAAAAAAAAAAAGGTAAGAATGTATAACTTCAGGGAGGGGAAAAAAAGAGTAAGAATGTATAACTACGAGTATGAGCCTCTCAGAAAATGGGGATGAGGGAATGAGATGAGCTCAATTTCAAAGGAGCATTCTCTTTCCAGCTTTACCTGCAAGCTTTCTGGAAGATAGTCAGAGGACAGAAAATGGGTATTCGGGTTGGTGAGCATATGGTCTTTAATTCCGTTGATGACAACTGTGCCAACGATGTAATCATAAGCCACGTGGTTTCTCAATTATGACAATCTGACCCTTTTTCTAGCATGATCAGCATACCTTTTTTTTTTTTTTAGGAGTTGAAGCATGATCAGCATGCTGATTAACGTTTATTGTAATATGAGTTAGCTGTGCCCGTTCATTGACGACTGAATTGATATGATCATGAGAGTCTTTCAAAGTTCAAACCCGTTTGAGTTGTACTCAGATTAAAAAAGGAAAAAGGAAAAAGGAAAAACCCTTTTGCCTTTGGGCACCAAATTTTGGACTTAGGAATCGTCCAGTGGTGATGAGCCTAATAGATCTCCCCTGCCAATGGATTGATGACACTCACATTGGGTGTAGATTGTGGATGGCCGCTTGTGAATTCATCGATTGAATTAACATTTTTAAAGTGGTTTTTACCAAGTTTAAGGAAAATGTGATAGAAAAATTCTGTCTCAATTTACGTGAAAAATATTGTTTTAAATATTTTTTAGGGGATCCCAAACATCAATTTTTTTTTCCCTCTGCGTGCCAAATATTCTTTCCGGAGTTACTATCTCTTTTCCTACATTCATTGCCATTCTATTTCATATCCCACTTCCATCCAAATGAGTATCATCATTCCAAACACTCGAACAGGAACCAATGGAAGGCTGATGGATATTGCAAGCTCAGGAAAGGTTCAAACCAAAGTTTCATATTGCACCCTTTCTTTCTTAAAACCAAAGTTCAAATCATCATTCTGGATACTTTTTTTTTTTTTGGCTACAATCATTCTGGATACTTTGAACTAAGGGATATGGCGGGTCAAAGTCCCAAATTAGGATGGGTTTAAACTTCAGACACACAAATTTTGCGCATTTGGACTGTCCTGTAAGTCCCAAATGCATTTCCAATCTCACGAACATTATGGAATAGTAGAGAAGAGGTAAGCTTTCCAATCGAGACAGTCACATCTTACAACGTAAGATCCTTATCTGCAGTGGTAAACTGCTGATCCCTCTCCGCCCTTGTCGCCATTCTGTGTTTACCAAGACGCATACGCCTTTTGTCTCATTGGCTGAACCAATGAACTCTCTTCAGAATTTATCGGTAATCTTTTTCCTTTTCCAACTTAGTTGTTTTGATTAATCTGAACCGTTTCAGAGCCCATTTGCTGCTCAAATGTTTGTTCATCAAGTTGCCGGAGATCTTCATCATCCGCCTGCAAATGTCACCATAAGGTAACTTGATCTGCTGCAAATAGTAAATAAAGGAAAAGAAAAACCGAGACTTGCTTGCAAATGCAACCAAGGATGGTCACTTTACATTTGATAGCATATTGCATTTAAATATAATTAAGATTAGGTTGAGAAGCCTTCGTATAAACTCTAACCACTCCCGAATAATTTAAGCATGAGTTAAGGGAAAGCAAGCATGTATTCCCATTACTTTAGTCTGTTTGTTTCGTTCTCATGACAAATTCCTTTCTTTCTGGTGTGAAACTTAGCCATTAATTAAGTGATGCTTCTGAGAGGCCCTGCCTCTTTCATTAGAAAGTTAGGTTTGACGAGAATTCTAAACTATTTGGTGTGTCTACCAGTGTGTCTATCGTATATCACTTCCCATGACTTATACCGTGTTTTAAACTTTTCATAAACAGGTGATCTAAATAATTGTTTTTCAATTAGTTTTACAACATGCAATCTTTTTTATTTTCATTTAGTCGGTGAACAATTTTTTTTTCTGTTGTTCTTCTTAGACCTGATTAAGTAACTTGTGACACAAGCCTCACTTTACTTTGATATTGGTTTAGACTGAGTTGGATCTGTCATGAATTTTTGGCATATAATTTAAAAATCTATGGAATCCCTCCTTTGACCAGCATTTTCACCCCCCCGGGGAGGGGGGACATTAAAATTGAAGGCCTTAAATTGTAAGCTTTACAATATAACCTTTTCTTACTGCCATATTTTCCTAAAGTTAACTGGTACCTTCGCAGACTTTTATATCCTTAAAATTACAATTATGTCATCTCAATAACAATTTTTGTTAAATTTAAGGTCACTTGATATGTTTTTTTTCCCTTTCATTTTGTTATTGTCAACGATCTTCTTCCGCAACCAGTCATAATTAGTAAGCAATAGCCATAGCTTCCACAGGGTATGAATTTTAATTTTTAGATTCAAGCAACTGCTAAAGTACTCCCCATTCTCCACTTGACATATGTATTTCACTTCAAAATATGATGTGATCAAGTCTTTTATTTTTAAATGAGATAATGTGCTTACCACCATATAGGTAGCTCCAATAAAAAAGAATTAAAAAAAACAAAACGAACAACTTCACTAACTCGTTCTATATTTGCGATGTGTGTTTGTATTTAATTTGTAAACAAATGAGCGGTTCTCAAATGAAGGTCGGTATCAGATTCATCTTTATAATACTGAAATTATTTCGTCATGAAAAGGAAGTGGGGGAGGAAAGAAACAAACGTGTGGACTCCAGTAAAATAATTTATTTAAGTAGCCATGATTTAATTATTCGGTGCTTTGCTGATTAATTATTGTACTATTATTTCAATCAAACTAAAGATAAGCGCGCATGGAAATAATGTTTTTATCATGTCTGCCAACCTTTACATATATAATTGTATTTACAATATTGGCAAAAAAAAAATTGTATTTACAATAATAAGAACAAGGGTGTGTTTTGTAGTTTGAAATCTAGTAAAAGGAAGCAAAGAACATGCGCTTTTGGAAGTGTTACTTTGAGCTCCCGGATTTGTTTTAATTATGCTAAATATCATTAACTTTGGTAAATATCGGGACTGAACCCATTTAAATTTTTTATGATAAGAAATTGAACATATTCTGGTTTAAAAAAATTGTGCCTTAGTTGAAGATGATCTGGAATCCAAGCATTAATGGCGTTTAACAAGGCCCGGAAAAGATCAATGGGGATGAAAATGAAATTGCCAGAAATTAGACGGCATGCGAGCGGCTGTACAATGATTAATTAATTAATACTTATTAAGAGAGTAAATTAAAAAAATTAATTAAATTAGTTATTTGTAATAAATAAGAGTTGTCTTTTCTAAAATACTTCTGTTAATTAAGTGTATTCATTAAACTATTATTATTATAAAATTACTTTAAAAAAATAAATAAATTTGATAAATAAAACAAATGAGAGTTCTATATTTAAAATTAAAATAAAATACAGCTACTTAAGTATTAAATTTACATGTGGAAGGGGCGTCCACATCATCGACCATTTATATTTTGCCACGTAATAAATTTCTTAATGCTCGTTCGCCGACAGATTTAGTTCTCTCTCTCTTTTTATGTCTATTTCTGGTCTGCGCAGAACATAGTCTCTTTCGCGGCGAGTAAATTCGCCGACTAACAGAAAATATCCTTCTGTATAAATTCCTTCGCCTAGAGGAAGGAGACAAAGATTACTTCATGTGAGAGACTAGTCATGGTTTACGACGTTGTCTCGCCTGCAATCGGTAACACCTCCACCGTCGTCCACAACCTCGGCTTCTATCTGTCGGAGCATCCGGCGATCGTCAATTTCCGTTGGAGCCACACCCAGTCATGGGGTTCCACTTGGCTGTTCCTCTTCACTTCCATAGCCGCATATCTCTTCATCTCTCTCTTCCTCCATCGACTTCTGGCTTTCCTCATCCGCCCGACCCGTGCAGTTCCTCTTGGCCCCATACCCGCTCTTCATAGCCTGTTCATGTCCCTTATCTCCGTCACTATTTTCGCCGGTATATTACTCTCCGCCGCCGTTGAGATCAGAGACACCCGTTGGTTCTGGCGACGCTCAAAGACCCCATTCCAATGGCTGCTCTGTTTTCCACTGGGCACTCGACCCTCGGGACGGGTCTTCTTCTGGTCATACGTGTACTACTTGTCTCGATTCCTACACATGTGGAGGACGATCTTCACGATTCTACGACGTCGTAAACTGGTGTTGTTCCAGCTGTTCAATCAGTCCATCTCGATCTTCATGTCATTCTTGTGGCTGGAATTTTCGCAGTCGTTTCAAGTGGCGGCGATCCTGGCGACGACGCTGGTGTATTCGGTGGTGTACGGATACAGATTCTGGACGGCGATGGGGCTGAGAAGTGCGTGCTTTCCGCTGGTGTTGAATTGTCAAGTGGTGCTGGTGGGTTGCAACGTGGCGTGCCATGTAGGAGTGTTTCTGCTTCACTTCTTCCGAGGCGGATGCAACGGAATCGGCGCCTGGATTTTTAATTCGGTGCTCAACGTTGGTGCTCTGTTGGTGTTTCTGAATTTTTACGTGAGATTACAGGCCGATTACAGGAAAAGTAGTGCCAGGCTTGAAGGCGAGTCCAAGCCTCATTCCTGTGGTCATCAAAGGCTGGCGATCGGTCGTTAGTACTGTAGCAGAAATGGACAAGACAACTAGATTTAGGTGATCTCATGAGGCCTCCACCAAGCGTCTATACTTTTCTTGGTTAATTGTATTTGTAGGAGCAAATACCACCCCTCGTTGTAGATTTTCGGGGTTATGATATCATTATTTTTAGTTCAAGGATCACACAATTCTTGTTGCATTAGATATATGTAGCACTATGGAAAGTGGAAACGAATCAATAGTGTTTTTTGTGAGTGGCGGGGGTTGTGTTTTTTCCCTCCTGGGTTATGCATCACCATCGCATTTTACCAACTCACAACAGTATATTAGAATCGGTGACAAATGTTGTTTATTTTTCTTAGTGGTATTTTTTTTTTTTGGGCACAAAAAGAGAAGACAATTCCCTAAAACAACAAACTAATTAGGAACATAGTTTTGATGCTCATCACTTTGATGAACATTCTAAATTTATCAGATATAGATTGTTTATATCCAATTTGAACAATCCAAATTTAAAGTCTTTCATGAATTTTTTTTAAATAGAAAAAATTTTATTTGAAAAAATAATAGTTAAGAGATTGTCTTTATTTTAGATTCTATACATATTAAAATAATTATTTTGAATAAATAAAAATAAATAAGAATCAAATTCAAACTATCCAAATGAGATGTGGACAGTTCAGGTTTGATAAGTTTAGGATGCTCACCAAAGTGATAAATAAAACTAGAAAGTGGAGGAATCCAATCCCATGTAATCCCTATCAACAGGAGCACTCCTAACACATCCAAAGAGGAGGAACTTTCGCTGAAAGTGTCGGCAATTCTGTTATGCAGTATGCTCTTTGAGAACGTGCTATACTTGTAATTCCTAATAATCAACTTCATTATGTTTTGGATTTGAATGAACATAAGGTTACAGATTTGTTGCTTACCATTTGACATCAACATATCAATTGAGTTCTTAGTATCTGATTCCAGAACAACTTTCTAGAATTCAGAATTCCAAGTCAATCTTAATCCCTAAGAATAGCTAATTCTTCAGCTTCATAGACAAGAGGATGTTTGGACTAACCTTTTGAAAGTGATTTAATAATATATAAGATAAATATACGTGATGAGTTTTGTTTTGATTCGTATAAAAGTAGTCGGGAGAATGCTGCTATCAAAGAGTATTATTCATAGTGTCAGAAATGGAAACATGCCAATCAATAATCTCAGACGGGCCTGGACTGGTTAATTGGGCCTCATCCCCCACGGGAACCTTCGTGCTTTTGGTGGGGTTACATTGGCAGGCACATTGCTGTGTCCGCGGCTTTTTAGGGTTCAATTCAAGTGGGGCCCGCCAAATTCAAAAAAACGGAAAGTGGTCACCTTGGTGGAATCATCTTCCACTCACAACGTCATCCACTAGAGAATGCTGTCATCACACAGTAAGCCCATGCTGTCCCCACACAAAAGTTTGAAGTTCCTTCGCCTTCAACTCTGTTTTTTTTTGTTGGGTGGGTAGATTGAGGCCCAATCAACAACACAAGATGTTGAGGCCTGTGGGAGGTGCTTCTTGGGAAACACAAAATAAGCCTGCAGACATTGAATTATTGAATTACAACATGCATCGTCAGCTTGTATCTGGCGACACGCTAGTCCCAACCACCATTAATTACAAAGAATGAAGGTGATAAGAGATGAGATGAAAAGGAAGGAGAAGGTGGTGAGTCTAAAAGCAGGGGAATGGGCCGAAGTTGGATGAGAGGCGTGTGGGGACAGTGTGGGCGCAGGTGTGATTGTGCTGTTGAGAAATGAGAACAGATTCACACTGTTCACCAATTCATATTGTAAATGCAAAATATAATAAACTGTAAAAACACAGGAGCTTGGTGGAGCGTGACGGTGATGGAAATCACCTGTCCCAGAAACAGCCTTCCCTGCATCCTCCCTCCTAATCTTTATTTACTCACCCTAACTAATGCTCCTTAATTCCCTCGCCCCTTTCCCCACGTTTATTAGCACCTTTGCGTCCACCAATACTAAGAGCCTGTTTGGTTAAACGGTGGAATCTCAAATAAGCCCGTTTAAATTCAAATAAGTGCTTATAAAGCATGGTTAGGGTGTTTGGATAATTTTTATAGAATCCTGATGAATCGTGATTTTAACCTCCCACCGTACTTTTAGGATAAGCAACAAAAGATAGCTTATGCGTTTGAAAAATCCCGATGAATCCTCAGTAACTAAATTTTCTCCAATCTACCCCTAATTCTAATGGTAATTATTTTATTTTTTTTTAAAAAAAACATACAATATGAAACTGTTTTTCTTTTAAATTTTATTTCTTAGTTATAATTTTGATTGGAGATTCAATTTCCTTATCTATGTTACTAAAATTGCTAATCAAATTTTTTTTATATTTTCATTCATCTTTTATTTATATGGGGTCTTTTATTTAATATTTGTACTACACATAAATTTTGTAAGTGATTTTAAATAATAATAATTTTAAAATAAAAATAATATTTAAATATTCATGTCATTTATTAAATTATATTTAATAAAATTTATTATTAAATATAATAATTATGAAAATGTAAACAACTTTATTAACTTCATGTCCTTTTTAGTAATTATACACCCATAAGTGATTTTAATAAATAAAAACCAAACATAATCACAATTCTTAAAATCACTTATAAAAAAAAATCCAAACAGAAATCACGATTAACCAGTATCACTTATAGCCAGTATCACTTATAAAATTCACGATTATCTAAAATCACAGTTGTTCACCGCTAATCCAAACGGGCACTAACTCTACTACTTCCGTTCCTTAAAAATTACGATTCATTTAGTGTGTGTTTGGGATTGTGGTAGAAATTTTCTATAAATATATTTTATGTAAGTTGAGACAAAACTCTTCTCACATATTTGTCTCGTATTCTGTAAATTACTATTAAAAAATTATTTATAAGCTGTTCCAAACAGGTTCTTAATGAATTTGTTAATACCTTTTTAACTTGTCCTTCTTCTTTTTCTCATGTTTACTACTCCATGATGAAATACGCCCAAGGCGGCCATAAATCGTTTCCCTGTTAATCACTTCGTCGCAAAAATTGAAGGATTCCATTTCTCTTTTCATTTCATTTTCACCCCCTACCATACCTAACCCACTCCTCCAATTTCACCATTGCAAGTTGAAGCATATAGCTCCTCCTCTACTGCTTTTTAAAATGCCTACATTATAAATACATAAATATTCCCACATGCAAATTATATTTTAATTAACAACCTCTTCCTGATTGGTTATTCTAAGTCTAACGCGTCGCAAACAAACTCCACCAAAAAAAAAAATCCATAACGTACGGAATTGATGTATCCAATAATTATGGATGCGCCAGCCTATCTCCATATTTAATACGATAGCAACGGGAGTGGTGGAGTATCTTACAAGTTCAATAACTTCCCTCTGAGCCTAAATAAAGGTGCTTTAATATTTACTTACATTGGAATTTAATGACCATTTGCTTGGTTCCTTTCTAGTTTCCAGCTATATGTATTATTTTTTTCCTAGACTGGAATGTAATATCAATCTTTTATTTAAAAAAAAAGAAGTAAAACTAACATTACAAGTTCCTTATTTTCTGACATAACAAATATAAACTGTATACAGCGTATTAACAACGGGATGAAAGAATCAAGGACATTCCATTTTGAAATTTAAAATCATACGCACTAACTAATCAGTATATGTAATGAATCAAGGAAATAGCCAATTGATTCTTTCCACCTGCCCCATGAATGCTTTTGTTTTGATCTAAACCATGCTTTGTTATAATTAAGAACAGAAAATGTGTTAAAACAAGGTCGGTTTCTTAGGTATTATATACTCTTCAGGGGAGGGCTTAGGAAAAATGGGACCACGGGTGAAAGCGAAATAGCTTGGGAACACTTGGCATTTTTTTGCTGTTACAATTCCTTAAGTTGAACAATAATTACAACACTCTGCTTTTGTCGCTACATAAAGCCGCTCCTACATTTTAGTCATGCATTTTTCGAATTTTTCCTCTGCTTTGTAATGATATCCTAAAAAAGACTCCGCCGCCGGGTCCAAGGTTTTTCCTTTTTCTTTCCTTCTATATTTTCAAATCATAAGAGGCGGTCAATACATGAAAAATCAATAATGGTCAGTATGTTCTACAAATGGAATTCATCGCTGTGAGAATTGTGAAACGGGGGATGGGAAGCAACGGAAGAACCCAACTTGGAAGCCGAAGGTGATGGCGAAGAGTGGGAGCAAGCAGCCCTGAGCTGATTATACCTGGCAAGGTCGAACTGGTAGCGTTCCATGAGGCGTTTCTGCTTGGAGCTGAAACGGCTTTGGTAGAAACCTTCAAAAGATGGTTCTTTGGAGGTTCTGAGGAAGAAGGCGTAGCCAGCCATGAAGTAGATGGACGTAACATAGAAGCAAATGGGCTCCATCACATCCCATGAAAGCTCCCAAAAAGTGAGCCTCATGAACAGTGCTGTTTGCACCACCAGGTAACCCAGCCCTCCCCACAGCTCACGCCGAACCAAGCCGTCAGCTTTTGTGTCTATGGCTGCCTTCTGTTTCTCCAGTTCTTCAAGCTCCTTTCTGGCCACTTCTGGGTCATCTGTCTTCCCTGTTGTCTTTGGAAGCAGACGTTGAATGGCTTTTGCTACCTGTATCACAAATTATTTAGAGTTTGGGTAAAATATGGCTCAATTTACATTCGGCTTCTCTCTGTAGGATTAACTGTACATTTCCAAGGCCAAGAGAGGGAAATGAAAACTGACAAGACTCTTTTAGACCCTTGACAAACTCAGCTTGGATAAAAGGTTTACCAGGTCAGCACAATTGGACTTTGATAGGAGGAAATAAAAAGGACAAAATAAGAAAGGAAGGCATTGTCATTTATCGGGGAAGGACTGGATTTTTCTAGACGCGATAGAGGTTAGGTGAAGAAAAAGAAAATGACAACTAACAAGTGTGAAAAGAAGTAGAAAACTAAAAATTGGAAACTGCTTGAAATAAAATGCAGAAATGTCTGGATTTTACAGGGCGCAAATAGGACGACGTCCTAAAGGCTTCTCACAAAAACATACCAAAAGGTCTATTTATCCTTTTATTCACATCTCTGCCCTCCAACCTTCTGTCAGGAATCCAAATTTCCCAT